GAGCGATGCCGGAGAATATACTCCCTTCAGGTTTAACGCAGACGTAAAGCTTCATTCCGGCGAAAAACGCAACCACAGCACAAGCCATGAGCCCGGTAGGGACACCAAAGCCGATGATCCAGCTGACTTGGTCTTGGATATACACAACCACGGTCTGTGTAATGAGTAGAACCACAGTGACAGTCATGTAATACCAGTTGAAGAAACTAGCCACTTCTTTAACCCCTTCCTCGGTTCGTTGGTTAAACTGGTCAACTCCAAAAGGGATGCTACATGGTCGTATTCCTCCACTTCCTATGGAGAGGAAACCGAGACCTAATAGCAAAATTCCCATGTGAAGCTTGGTCGGACCGGCGCAATTTATTGGGTTGTTGTTGCTGCATGATGCTGGGTGGAGTTGAGGAAGCGATGCTGTGAGTGTCAATGTTATTAGTCCCTGCAAAATTTAAATATTTGATTAGACATTAATAATCAACTCATCATTGAAACCGATTTTTTCATTAGTAATGATGATTAACTTTTTTTGGTCGAAATTGATTTGAATAGTTGCTAGTTAAACTTGAAAATGCAAACAATATTGTGCTATAGGTTGAAGTTACGCGATCAAATACAAACAAACAGTTAATTGTTAACAATTGTGCAATAGGTTTGACTTCATATGATTAGAAGTAATACTAGTTTGAATAGGTACTTGGAATGACAAACAATATTGTCGGATATATTCAAAACTTATGAGATTAAATACAAACAAAGAGTTAGTTAAGTTAACTATAGTCTTTATTAGGTTTGATTTCAAATGATTAAAAGGTGAGATTACTTTCACTAGTATCCAGATATTTCCATTTTTTCAACTTTTTTTCAGATACATTTTCCCCAACTGTTTATAAATGGGACAGAGAGAATATACGTTACATCACTGTGTGATTGACCAAATCTACATCTCTTATAGTTAGCTATATCATCTTGAATTTCAATTATTGGACACACTCATTATCAATATCAATATAATCTATATCGACCACTTGTATATGTTCTTTCTTTTCTACGCACTTACATTTATCTCCAAAATAGAACTTCTTTAATGGAAAATGTATCACCACTTAATCAAAGTTGTTTCAGTGAGATAAACAAAGTTTATATGATTCGCATGACAGACCGACCTTATCGTCCTTGAATGCGTGCGTGGTCCCTCTAAAATTTTATGCGTTTTCGTACCATGCAAAACCAATAAATAGGTGTAAAATATTTCCTACAATTTTTTTTTGTTTGCTAAAAATTTATTACAAAGTTTTGGTATTATAATCTTTGGTCCTAACATGTTAAATTATCATGTCCACGTGGGCGACGATATTATGTGCCAAGTATCATGTATCTTCGCCACACAACAAAATAGAATAAAGTAATAATATAACTTTATACCTAGAGTTAAGTAAGTTTCTTTTTGAGAAAGGGTTTTCTAAGAGAGTTAATAAGTTATGAGGCAATAATGTTACTATTAAGAGCAATAGAGATTGGCATTTCCATAAATTGAAGAGATGAGTTACTAATACGTACGAAGAGGGTGACGAAGGAGGCGAAAGCGATGGTCTTGAAGCGGCCGATGTAAGCGTCTGAGATGAACGCGCCGACGAGAGGAGTGAGGTGGGTGAAACCAGACCAAATGTTGATGACATTTGAAGCTTCGACTAGTTCTAAGTGGAACACTCTGATTAGATACACCATGAAGTTTGACAATAAACCAATCGTTCCCAGTCGCTCCAACGTTTCATTAGCTGTTTCAACCCAAATATCATTTCATTAATTTTTTATTTAAAAATAGAGAACAGAACAAATGGACAAATATGATAAACAGTTTTTATTTCCGTTTCAATTACTGTATGAAGTAGTCAAATGGACTAGTGTGTCATGTTGGATCGACGGGTACGAGAATATAATATGATATAGTTCTTCAATTAGAAAAAACCCAAAAATTGATGTATATTATATTACTATGCAACGGTTTATGTTGAAAGTTGTCTTGAAACGGCCAATTATATATGTCGAGGATAATATGTACAGTAAACTGATTTCTAAGATATTGACGAAAGTCAAGGATTAGGTTAACTGAAAATAAATTACGTTCACTAACCAAAAAAAAGAAAGAAAGATATACCTAAAATGAACGAGACGGCTTTCCATCCTCCATGCTTTTTCTCTACCTTCTCGGCCTCCAAGATAGAATCCGGCGAACTTTTCCGATTGTGCATATCAACAATCTCCGGCGATTTGGATAAACTACCGGCCTGTGGTGGCAAAGAAGAATTATCTTTTCTTTTCTTCAAATCCATCACTAAGATTTTACTACACTCGGATATTCTTGCTACGAATTTAGGGTGGAATTAATGTTGTGAGATTCGATTCACTTTTTTTTTTTTGCAGTTTATAAATAAATCAAGGTAACCACATGAAATGATTGATAAATGTAGAGAGTGGGAACATAACACACACTTTCTCTCTACTAGAAGCCTTTTTGGGGTGTGTATTGTGGAACTGTGTACATATGTATATCAGTATATATAAGGGCGTGAGTAGATATTAAATGGTGCGTGTGGGTCTGGGTGAATTTGATTGACGGTCCCCACTAGTAGCCTCCACGTGAGAAGTTGGAAGCTGTAAAAAGAAAACAATTTTAGTGTTACGTTTTTTATCTTTTTCTTTTTTACATCGTATGGTACGTACTATTACTAAATTGTTCCACGTTTTGTGAATCTTCTATGTTTCTTACATTTGTTACCGTACAATACAATGTTGAATTAATGAACCATGTTAACACATTGTAAGAGTTTGGTGGGTGTTGGTTCGTATGGATGATAATATATATGTTTTCACACTTCTTTATATATGGTGTGTCCAACATCTACTGTATGTCCACCATCTATGGTATGATGGGTGTGAATATAACATCTTATTTTCACCTCAAAATAATATGATCTGTATGATTTTCTGATATATTACCAGATAGAATTATTTGTTTTAAAATATTGTATTGGTAATTAAAATGTATCCATATTTTTAAAAAGAATCTATAACCAAAAAATGAAAGCAAAATTATTTTTTTGTTAAAGAAGAGTTAAGAAAGTAATTTAGTGGACTCCATTGAGAAACACAGTTTGATTTATTTATGTCAGAATTGAACTTGAAATATTTATAGTTTGGATAGTTTTTTGCAGTGCATATTGCATAACGCTGATAGACAACCAACTGTGGGTCCGTACCATTATCACCGTTCGATCTTGTGGTCAAATTTCTCCACTCTTCGCCATCATCCATGGTCAAATGAATTGAACCGTGGCCGCAAAAGGTTTGGACAGCTTTTAATAACTTGTCCCAATAGGCCGACTGATCCAAAGACTTATCTGCGTTTGTGTGGTGCGGGTCACAATCAAATAGCGAAAAATGTATATGGAGGTCGATAGATAACTCCAACTCCTAGAAAGGTCGTTGTTTTTTCTATTTTGTATTTGATATGATCATATCTACTGACTTTAGTTGGGAATAAACTAAAGCATGTTAAATGTGGGAATACATTTTTGGCCGTGTTGGAAGAGACATAATTATTAATTATATGAATATCTGCAATATGATGTATGAAAATATTTGAAAACTGAATAATATATCATTTTTAGTGATACTTGTTAAGGTTAATTTAGATTTATGTTCTGATTATTGGATTGATACTATATACAGGGATTTGTCTGACTTAGAGTATCTATTACGTACGGAGAATATTCTGTTGCTTCCGGAAATGCCTTCATTGACTTGTATCCGTTCAAGTGTGTACAAGACTATGATAAGGATCGGTGATCCATCGTAATTGTATTCCCATTTGGAATCGTATCATTATTGTCAAATTACATTAATTTCACTGACCACATCATATTTATTACAAAATGACATTTTCCTTCTTTGTTGAACTGTTACTAGCTCGTTGGAAATCAACAAAACGCGTTGTAAAAATGTGATTGTCACTGTTTGATTTTGTTCTTTTTTCGTGGGGTCTTTTATGATGATATTCAATCAAAAGAGCTGCCAAGAGACATGTGACTTCTGAGAAAGTATTTTTCCCCTTCTCTTCTAACTAACCGATGTTTGTAATTTGTAAACTAATTATAGTTTCCAGTTTTAACTTACAAGTACTTTGTTACTTTTATGATTTAGTTCGTATCTCTTTAGTACTTTGTTTGCTATTAGTAATCGATGAAGAAAACATAGAAACACGCGAACTGTAGTTAAGGTACGTAACAACACATAGGGTTGATCAAACTGAATGCCCACCAAGTTTTGAATATTCCACTATCTTTTATTTCTGTCAAAACTCAAATTATTGATGAAGTAGTGATTTTCTTTTTTATTTATATGAATGGACAGCTAATTTACATCATGCAAAGTCAAATTTTAAATGAATAAGATATATGAAAATTAGACTAGCTAGTTTTAGCAAAAATAAAATAAGACTAGCTAGTCTATGCTTATCCTACTATATGTATCCTTGAACTGAAGTTGCGATTATTATTGAAAAAAAAAAACAGAAAATAAAAAGATATTTGAACTTCTGAACAATGATTTTTTTTTTTTTTTTTTTTAAATACAACGACTTGTTTTATCAAGTCTTCCTCAATTTTGGAATATTTTTGTGGTTTTCTTCGAACAAAATTCAAAAGAGTGCTCATGCTAAAAATACACATTTTATATTAACATATTGTAAAAAGAAGTCATTAATTTTCATAGTATTGATATCTTACATATAGGACTCATTATCTATCTTTTCAGTTTCTTATCATTTTCAAATATCTATTTTTAGATTTCTCAAATGTTCGTAAATCGTCAATTTCGAAACATGTAAAAAATTCTTGAATTGTACAAAGTATCAACTATCACGACGTACCATAAATTCATAGCTAGTAAATGTCATGACACTACAAATGAGGGGTCATATTATCATATATATAATCTTAAGTTTGTCACATGTTTCTATAACGATATTTTCCAGCAGACCACAAGAATAACACGAAATTAAGAGTGCTTAAACCGGCAATAAAGTAATAGAAATAATCCAACTTGCCAGTATCAATATCATCCGTGAGCCAACTCTGTTTTCCTCCTCGAGCAGTCACACTATGCACAATGCTCACCATCGCACTGCTTAGATAACTGGCTAAAGCCATACCTAAGTAGAGCATTGAGTTCCCTATGCTTCTCATGTTCATTGGAACTTGTTTGTTGAAGAACTCGGTGAGGCCAACAATAGTGAAGACTTCATAAAATCCCATTAGTACTTGTTGCGGGGTTAGCCAAAAGATCGATATGTTTACCCCGGCAAGGGACATATCTCTTCTCTTCCGCTCCACAACACCCGATATAAACATTGTCATGATGGAGAAAAAATTCCCAATCCCAACTTTTTGTAGTAACGAGATGCCTCCTTCTTGTTTTGTAATGTTTTCAATGTGTCGGACCAAAAAGGTTTCATAGAAGGGAAGCCATATCCCTATGGTGATTAGTGATACTACGGTTATGGAAGCAGGAGGGATTGTGTAAGAAGTTCCGGGAAATCGGAGGTCCATTTTTAGTGCTTGTGAGACCGTAAAGGTTTGTTGCTGGTTCATAGCCAAGAATCCAATAATGCTCGAAGCAAATATTGGAATAATGCTTATGATAGACTTTATGTCTTCTATCTGTCTCACAGTGCAGCTTCTCCCCTTCTCATTTCCAGCTTCATCGTTGTTCATCACTATCACGGCCTTGTTCAAGAACCTGAAAAAAATAACAAAGAAAGAATAAAAATCAAAGTTGAGAAATTTTAAGAAATACACAAATAATAATGATTAACAATAGTATGGGTAAAATTAAAGAGTTTATTAACTCTGAAACATCAACTTTTCGTAAAAGAAATTTTGAACAATATTTTAGCATGGTGTTTAAAACAACGTTTTGTATAAGAGATATAAAAATTTAAGAGTAAATGTTACCTGTATTGATCAGTGAGTATGAGTTGATTTGATTGCGAACTTGTCTCAAGCAACGGTCGATAATAGCCAACCTCTAAAGGAGACGGCACATTGCGTTTCTTAAAAGAAGCCACGAGAACCTTGAAGATCCCAGCGATCACACTTCCTTCGGGTTTTACAAAGACATAAAACCGAGTTCCCACAAAAAGCATAACAAGCGCAAACAAATTGAGAAACGTCGGGATTGCGAATCCAAGCCCCCAGCTGATGTTGTTCTGTACGTACAACATTAGAGTCATTGCAATTAACTGTACGATTGTATGAGTGGTGTAGTACCAGCTGAAAAAGGTTCTACTTCCTTCTCTTCCTTCTTCAGTCGAATCATCGAACTGATCGAGACCAAAAGGAACACTGCATGAACGGATTCCTCCTGTTCCTACCGATAACAAGAAAAGTCCCGAGAGTAAAACGTATAGTTGAAGATCGTTGTAGCGGATGCAGTTTCCGGTGATTTGGTCGGCAGTGCAAGGTGGTGGTCGGAGATTAGGGATCAAAGAAGTAAAAGTCAACACCAACATTCCCTGTTGAAGTTTTTAACTCTTGTCACGTTACAAATTTCCAACATCAAGACTTGCAAAACAACTTTTACCACACAAAAAAAAACTTGCTAACAACTATAGGTTTGGGTTTAATGTTTAGAACATCAATTCTACGCATGTGTTTGCCTTTATATATTAAAAAAAAAAATCAGACTTATAAAAATAAAAAATGTTTATAATAAGTAAAGTGTAAACGCACATGCTACATGCAAACGGAAAATCTTCTCTTCTTTACATTTGGCATTTGCGTTAAAGAACTAACAAACAACTTTTGTTTAAAACGCTTGAGAGAAAAGCTTGTTTTAAAACAAAATACACGCTAAATGTAATTGCAAACCATCAAATCTTAATTAAACGATATGAAAAACCATTAAATAACGAAAATAAGAAGGAAAATAATATTTTTTTTTACCAGCAATTCGGCTATGGAACCAAAGACAATGGTATTGAATTTTCCAGTGTAAGAGTCAGAGATGAAAGCTCCGATGATTGGAGCAAAGTTGGTGAGAGCAGACCAAGTGTTGATTAGAGTCGCAGCTTGGACTTGATCCATATGATATTCTCTAACCATATACACCATGAAGTTCGCCATTAAACCAAATGTCGCAAGCCTCTCCAGTGTCTCACTCGCTGCATCATCATCATCGATATAGCTTGATCTTTAAGTTTACGAAACATCTCAAAAACAGAAATAAAAAATGTAAAAGTGGACACTGATTGTAACTTTACAAGTACCTAATATGTAAGGCATAGCTATCCAACCGAGAGGCTTCCGCTGTCTCATCTTTGAATCCGAAGAAATGTTCGCTTTCTCATCATCCATTTTTTTTTTTGTTGGTCTCTTGTTTCTGTTTTTGTTTCTGTTTTTGTTTCTGTTTTCTTCTAGTAGTATCCTGGTTTTTGTGTTGAAGCAAATCAGTTTATGTTATAAAGAGAAGTAAAACCGTGTCTTAATTTTTATATATAGAAAAAGTTAAAATAATAAATGGACAACAATCTCATCATTTAATAGTAGATCCTGCATAGAAATCACAAGTGATAAGATCATTTTCTCATCACCAATCATTTCAAGTTATGTGTCAGTCAGATAGATTATTAATCAAATTAAGCTATCTGTGTGGCATAACAAGATCTACGTCTAGTAAATAAATTAAGTTTAAATAAAATAAAATAAATGAAAATATTTACGGACTAATTAATATACAGAGTAAAATAAAATAGGGATATCTGTTAGAAAATCTTGGCTTTAGTATTTTTATATTTTTAGAAAAGCATAAACTTTATATTATTCCTTAATCAAATCTTGTTTTTGTTATTTGCATCCCGTGATAAATATTTGATGAAACAGAATATTCTCCGACTCTCAAGGCTTGGAGGTCACGCGGAAGGCCGATATATAACAAATCCCTCTTCGCCTGAAAAACAAATCACATATTTTCATCAGATTCGACAATGCCTCGCGGGCCTCGCGCCGGCAGAAGCTCCGGTAGTAACAAATTTAGATCTTTACATTTCCCAAAGTTATTTACTTCTTACCGCAGTCGTTCAATCTAGGGTTTCGAATTTTGTTCAATTTATGCCGGATTTTTATAACAATTTTCGCTGTGTTTTGATGGAAACTTGTAAAAAATATGTGACCGATGTGTTTCAGTTTCTCTCTGTTCCAGTTTTTGATTCGATTTGGAGATTTTTGATTTGGCTCTTTGATCTTAAAAATCAAATAGTCTCACAAAACGCTCATTTTTTGGGACTTAATTAGCCCTAATTATTAGTCTCGAGAAATTCGATTAACATTCTTGATGATGCAGGAAGAAGATCATATTCAAGTGGGTGGCCTAAATTTCGCTCTTCGCCACATATCACTAAAACATCGTCTGGTAAAACTGGTAAAAAACACTTCTCACTGCCATCGATTAAATTTTTTTTTATCAAAATAAATAGTATATATAATATATTTATGGATCTGTAATGTTAATTTCTGTGCAGATAAAGATGAAAAAAAATCGCCTCCTCCTGCTAAAGTTGAGACTACTACTGGTGAATCCAAGCCTGGAAGATTTTATTCAACCATAGCTGATGGTATATAAGAAACTTCAGTTAAATAAACGAAATTTCTCTTTGCATTTCTAATTCTTTTCAATTTTTAATTTAATCGTCTTGAGGGGAAATTAGGTTTTAGCTGGGGGACTGGAAATGCAATGGGACACAGATTCGTTGAAGCCATTTTTGGCCCTCGAACCATTAAAACAGAGGTAGCTTTACCAGAGAAAGCTGAAGTTGCTTCTGTTGATGCCAATGATGATTACGATAAATACAAGGAATACACTGAATCTTGCAGTATCAGCTACAATGCATTTCAAGAGGTAATTAAGGCCTATATATAAGATTGTTGGATCTTCTTTAATTTATTCAAGAATCATTTGCAAAATTATGTGATTGTTTTTTTCTGTGTTTAATGTGTGTTGCAGTGCTTGTATGCGAAAGGGAATAACCTAAGGAAATGTCATTTCTTCATGGATCAACTGTTCGAATGCAAGAAGAACACTGGTTCCTTCTTCTAAGTACTTGGACTTTCTGTTTTGTTTTTCTTTGTTAGTTTTGTTTTCCCACCAAGACATCTAAAAACTCTTATTGATTCAATCATTCGTTTATGATATGTGCTTTTTCTTGAATAAAGAAACCTCAAAGTCTATGATTTATCTTATGTTTGGATAACAAAATAAAGTCTTTGTTAAGTTTTTGATTTTGATTTACTCTGATCCAACTTGAAAACAGTGTTTTCTAGAAACTAGAAACCAGTAATTAACCAGAAGATTGTTAACTTTAGTATTGGGCCTCCATTGAATCAGCCCATTAATACTGGACTTGGGCTATGAGACAATTCAACTTACCGAAATGTTAGGCGTTGGAGATAACAAAAGTCAACGAGGATCTTCGAGATGGTAACACTTCTATAGATACGATTACAAAGACCTGCTTACTTTTCAAATGACATTGATTTTGAAAGGGTGGTGGATCATTTACAACAACAAGATACGGCATACAATACTTTTTGTTTATGCTAGACAATATTGGTTTATTCAAGAAATAACATAAATTAACAAACATTTGCAATACTATAACGAGAAATTTTATGAAATACACCTCTTGAGGTGCAAATTTTCAAAACTATACCTATAGTATGGAAATTTTCAAAAATACACCTTTTTCTAATTTTAATATATATATTTGAGTTCACTAATCCTAGATTAGGGTTTAGATTTTGGGGTTTAGGGTTTAGATCTAAGGTTTCAATGTTAGATTTTAGGGTTTTTTATTTATTTTTTAGGGTTCGAGTTCTTTTACTCAACGAAAAAGGTGTAGTTTTGAAAATAGACACCATATAGGTGTATTTTTGAAAATTGGCCCTCAAAAAGTGTAGTTTTGAAATGTTCATTATATATATATTTTCTTATCACACATCTTATTTAGAACTCTACCCATAATGAAGATTTAGTGACAAACCTTCTATAGAAAAATATCCACACCACTAATAAATTGGATTTTGTTTAAAATAGATAAATACTGTATGATTATCAATATTCTAGTCTTGTCAGTAATAAAATACTATTTTATAATGGATACATCCAAATCATTCTAGGAATGTGATTATCGTTATACTGAGATGTAGTTCAAAAATATTTTTTTTTGCGGATCATAAACATGAAGAGTGCAAAGTATCTGCCTAAAAATAGTAGCATAAGAGGTTGGCAAATTGATAATTAGCTCTACATGTACAAACTTAATTAGAATATTTAATTAAACCGAAAGCTACCTTTAGAGCTTTGGCCTAACTACAGAAATGAAACCTGTAACATTTGGTCAGATGCTGACTTGACCAAATTTGTATGTTATAGTTTGCAAGGCCTTTAACACTTTGATTAGATAGTGACAAACAAAGAGATAAGTGTGAGAGTTTCAAGATAGTAATGTTGACTCGTTATATCACATTCTTACCCTTTATAACTTTCTAATTTTATCTATTGTCTATTTTTTCTTCTTTTAAATCTGTTAATAGGAGGTAGTGATAATCTACAAAATGGATGTGTAGTAAGAGACACGTAATTGTTTATGAAACACTATAGTATGGTGTTACATATACAGAAAGAGACATCTATACTTGCTAAAATTAAAAAATATGTGTTTCAATTTAGTGTTATCAATTTTTTTTTTTTTTTTTATAGACCCTATCGGCTTCCGGTTAGTCCCGGTAGGAACGCACCGAAGTGCTACAAAGTGGACTCATCCTTTGGACTACCACACTGCCTACACTGTCTATTCCGAGTTTGGAATGCCTTCCGACTAATGCCAGGAGGTAATCAGACCGCCTGCATTTCTGATTACCAGATAAACCAATTGGGCCTAGGTTTAACTGACAAACTTCCCACACAAATGTGATTTTGTTTCCAGGGAGAATCAAACCCGAGTCTGAGAGTTTCAGCCTTCACCAAGGCTTCCCCTAACCACTGGACCACAAGAATGCGGACATCAAATTTTATGTTGGGCATCTTTTACATTTTACCCCCAAAATATGCAAGAGAAGTCCTGAAAAATGTTTCAAATTCGTTAAAGAATCAAATTGATTTTAGAATCATTGAGAAGTTACGCAACCAATGATATGCAAAATATAAAGACATACGCACTATACGCTGGCCGTTAAAATCATTAGAGAACAAAACATAAATGTGCGACAGTGTCAGATAAAAAATCGAAGTTGATATAAATGGTCCAAATAGTGGTATATAACAATTCCAAGATTCATTCATATATATTGCAAATCACTCGTAATTAAAGTACCTTTGCGTCGGCTTTAAACTTTATAAAATTATTTCTGTTATAACACTGTAAATAAACAAGAGCCACGAAATGCTAGAAGCCTAGAATATATAAATCCAGTGGCCATTAGAAAAATATCGCATCTTCTTTTATCAGCTACGATTTTTTTCGTACTTTCATCAATAATGTGTATATGATTGACGATTTTTTTCGTACTTTCATATTTCAAACTCTTTTACGACACTTACTTTCATAACTAATAGTTCCTCCACACTTCAGTGTGATTTGTCTAGGCAATAATTAAAAATCGACAGACCAACCAGGACGAATAAAGTCATGTACATAAGTAGATGTTGTTGATGGTCTTAAAACCACCGCATGCGGGGGAGCATTTCAGGGCATATCTATAACGTGGCAGATAGTGAAGTAGCCGGTCCCACGTTTCTTTAGGATTCGAATCATTGGACGGTGGAGACATATCATGGAGGCTTAATCATGATTAATTAAATTTGTAATTTAGGAGTAATTAACATCTAGAGGTAGATAAGATATTGAAGAGATGTGGTTTGGCTTTATAAAAAAAAGAAGAGAGGTGGTTTGGATTCTGTTGCATGCTTGCACCGTACCTGTCTCACCTTTGTAATGGAGAATAGTTGACTTTTCTTTACTTGTCGGCTTCTGCCAAATCCTCGAGCATATTTTACGGGTGTATGGGAATTTTTTTTAATATTTCTACTAGTTGGTTTAATTTTGTATTTCTTGTTATTCGAGTTTCTTAAGGAAAAAAAACTAATTTATTCTTTTTTAGATATTTTTGGTTCGATGTCGAAAGTATTTTTTTTTTGTTGATGAAGTTAAAATCTAAAGATATCAACCTCGTCACAAACATAAATAAAATGAGTATATACATGCCCCTTCCAAATGATTTTTGAAAAAAAAAATAGTTTTATAATAAAAAAATAAAACTAATTCACATTGAATGGATTGAAAGATTAGTGAGTTATCTCCACTTTTAAATTAGTTTACACTTATGTATGAAATTTCTAGAACCCAATGAAAGAGGATGATTTATCACTCATTTTCCAATCACTTTTTTCGGAAACATATGTTTCGTCAATCATATCCCACCATTATCATCGTAAAATACGAGGTGGTGTAATCTAACGTACCCACAGAGATCAATTTCACAGCGAAAACAAAACAGGCAATCCTCATGTTATTGTGTAGAGTCAACTTTGGTTATCCACACATGCAGGGAATATATTCATGAGCTATACAATTTTACGTGGCATATCTAATTGGGACCAAGAGACAATACGAATCCATGGGAAACTCATCTTTACCTGAAACCACATCTCGATCTTTTCCTCATTCTCATTTAAATGTATCAAAGTGAACAAAGTCTTGAAAAGGATTGTGTTATTTGAACCGTTTTTGACATTTTAAAGGTTCCACTTCAAAACACCATATAAATCACTTATTTCATATATTATTGCATAGTTCGCTCTCATTGATAACCCATATGAATGCTAACGTTAGATACTACTCATTAAACAAACTCATGATTAACTAATGTCTAGACAATGAGTGCTGACTTAGTTAGACCGTCCAATAATTCAGGTGGCAATTAGATATATGAGAAAACTAACTTTCTAATATATATCATTGGATACTGCACTGTGCAGACGTCTGCAAAGGTTGGCCCCAGCTTTAAAATTGATATCATATAAGAAAACAAACAAACAAACAAACAAAAATGTAAAATATTTCCAAGCTTAAAGTGAGGTCCATCAAATGGATTATGAAGTCAATGGTCAAACATATCACAGCTCATGTACAGACGAGATTAAAGGGAAATAGAAAAAGAAGATAAATAATCTCACGGGTTGTTTAAAGAAGGACTTTGTTTATGAATATTTCGTGTATTTTAATGTCAAATTGCTGTATGCTTTATGAAAAGAGAGAAAGAGTACCAAAAAATGAAAATGAAATAAATAATGTATACAAAAGAGAGGGTCGGTCATTGCCACAATTAAGCGGAAGTGGAGAATGGTTGGTATTTGTTGTGTCCTTCAAACCTCAAAAAGCTTCCATGTATATATATATTTCAAGATCTTTTTTTGTTTTTTATTTATCTTATTTTCAGCACAGTACGTACTTTTTTAAATGGTTAGTAGGTTTTTTGTATTTATAAGATTGATTCGAAACAAATATAAAATGTATGCAACATGCGTATAAATATGTACTCTTTGATTAATCATTGATTATATTAATAATTTAAATTAAAAAAAAAACAATATAAGAAGAATTCGCTTGAGTCTTTGATTAATACTTTAGTGCAGATAATTATTGTTCTTGTGGTGCTACATTTAGTCAAATTCAATAACTATAAACGAGTTCAAACAATTGCATATATTGCAAGATTATATACGACCTTTTAAATAGAGTTATACATGTTTCGGGGTTTTCTGGTACAAGATTTATAGTGACCAAAATACACCTTTTAAATAGAGTTATACATGTTTCGGGGTTTTCCGGTACAAGATTTATAGTGACCAAAATATTCTAGTTCTCATTAACAAGTGTCCTTGAGTCTAGTATCAGTTACATATTGTATCTTGTTTCTGTATGTATAACTGTTCTTTAACTAACCACAACAATAAATTCTGAGGCAAAGAACAAAAAATGGTAATAAAGACTGAACCGGATTTACCACAAAATTCGTATAACGGATGGGAAATAAATCAAGAAAACAAAATAAAATATTGCATGGATAAGGAAACAGAACACTTGTCTATGCAACTTGTTTCTTTAGTTGCATGAGATCACTTTAATGTTAAAGTCCTCCCAAACAGTATTGGATTCTTCGCTATAAAAAGACCCTCATGGTGTGATTAGAGAGCCTTGAGATGTGAATTTGAATCATATACGCACACACGTATACGAATTCATATATAGCACTGGAATAATGAAAATATTTAAATCTAAAATAGTAGAATAGCACTGGCAAAGAAAAACATTAGTTAATTTCCAGAATATTCTTGTGTTTATGCCATGTTAACGGTAATAGTTTTTTTTTTGTCTTGATAAGTTCAATAGTTGTTTTCATTGTCTTTTATTTCTCGATTTCATTTGAGTTCTAATATATGGTGGCAACACGAATACGGAACACTGTATGTCTGTATCACAAAATCCCAGTCACAAAATTTAATATCTAATTATATTGATTTGAATGTTTTTAAGTTAAGGATCTTCTGGTTACGTATTTGTTCAGCTCTCAGTTAGCAGAACCAACCGATGACTGTCTTTAAGTACGGTTCGGTTCGGAACCATTCTTCTTTTCGTCCTCCCATACTTAGATTCTACATCAAGTCACATGGCTATATCTCGATTTAAATATCGGAGAATCTATTGGGAAAACAGCTATATATAATATATATCTCAACTTCAAATTACCACACAAAAAAAAAAAATTGAAATTACCATGATATTGAAGTATTGAACTGCTCCCAAAAGTCTCATGCTCAAATAAAATGCAAAAAACTATCTAAAAGTAAAGTGCACGAACTAAAGGGAACTAAAATATGGAGTTATGCCAAGTTGACACGTACCAAAAAAACAGTGGAGTTTCAAAAGCAAGATCTTTTGGTAAAACAATCATACAAGAGACAACAATGTATCTTTCAAAATGACAAAATTTCCGTAAATTATTAAGAGAAAAGTATGAGGAAAGTCTTAATTATACGCGGAAGTCGTGTGGTAAAATATACGAATACGCATATAATATATTGTTTTTATTCGTCAGATATAATTTATAAACATAGTTTATGATTAGCCGACAAAGAATCATAGTTTATATATGATTCTATCTAAACCGAATTTATAACGTCAAAAAGGTAATTAGTAACAACAGTTAATTGGCTATTTTGCAAAGCTAGAACTCCCGTGAATAGAAAGAGGAGGAATCAGTAGGTCTAGATTAAGTGAATGTTCTAGTTCATGTTGTTTTAGTCAACAAAGTTAATTTTCACTGAATTTGTTTTAAATCCATTAAGTGGAGGGTTTGATTCCTTCCATCACCTTTATCTTGCCCTCAACTTTTTTGTTTGTTTGGATTTACTTGCATCCTTCTCCATTAACAAACGAAACCAAACCCAAATACTGTATATTGTATTCTGTGTATTGTGTACACAAACATTGTAGACTAAAAAGTATTCCATCTATTATTTAATAGGTGATGTTTTTAGATTTTATCATTGTTAATTTTTTTAATTCATTAATTAATAAAACAACCATTTTATGTTAATTTTTGCATTGAATTTGCAAACTTTACTTTTTTTTGTTTGGGGTGCAAATGTGAAGATCAAACATTACTTATTTGTGAACAAAAGCAAACTCTTAAAAAATCACTTATTAGATAACAAAGGGAGTAATTCTTACGAGAACAATCTTTGATATTCTTTGAACTATCTAGTAGAATTTATTGTTTGTTAACATTTAGGAATAATATGATATGTGTAATCGATATTCAATCAACTCTAAAAATATGGTATCAGTAACACCTGTGGAGAATAAAAAACAAAATCAATCTTAGATATGTGACAATGGTATTGGAAACCCCATGTAAAATCAACTTGCATATTAAGTAAAGGCAAACAAACATTATTGATTAGTCTTTATTCCACCACTATATTACTAGCTTTATAAATTCTTGGAATTAATATCATCTTTAGTGCCCTAAAAACAAAGAAATCAAACTTTTTCCTAAAAAATAAGGTCATTTCTTAAGAAGAAAAGCATAAATAAAAATTGCAACATGAAGTCATTTTCTAATATTAAAGAGGGCCCAAATTCTCCTTTCTTCTCACCCAATTGGACCCTTCCTCAATACCCTCCTCTCCTCGCATCTCTTTAAATTTCACTAATACCCTTCTCACTTTCACTCTTATAATTCACAAAAAAAAAACTTTATATTTTTCCTCTCCTCAAAGTTAGAGAGACAGAAAGACAGAGAGAAAAAGAGAGAATGGTGGGTTCTTGAAGCTTCTCACATTATTTTTCTTCTACTTCATCGTTCAAGAAATCACCAATATCATTTTGTGTGTGTGATGATGTTTCCTTTTATGTCTTTTCTTAAAGTTTAGTTTCTTTTTTGTTGACATAAAACAGGAAGTGGAAGAACAAGAACGAGAGGTCTCGTCAAGATGGGAAGGCTACGCCGATTGGAGAAACAGAGCCGCCGTGAAAGGCCGTCACGGTGGCATGCTCGCCGCTTCTTTCGTCTTAGGTTAGTCTCAAAATCCCAAATCTACCCCTCTATTGACCCATCGTTATCTCCAGCCTAAGAAAAAAAAAACTTTGATGGATCATGTGATTCATTGATTTTAACCTTTTCTTTTTCTCTTCTTCCACTTGTAATCAGTGGTGGAGATATTAGAGAATCTAGCGTATCTGGCGAATGCAAGTAACCTCGTGTTGTACCTAAGAGAGTACATGCACTTTTCTCCATCTAAATCGGCAAATGACGTCACCAATTTCATGGGCACAGCTTTTCTCCTTGCTCTCCTCGGTGGCTTCCTCTCCGATGCTTTCTTCTCCACTTACGTCATCTTCCTCATCTCTGCCTCCATCGAGTTTCTGGTAACACCTACTTACTATTCTAACTAATGTTACTATTTCTTGATTAATTATTTTACATTTGTTTATTCTTGCAACTTGAAAGAATTGTACTAAAGAAAGAACAAGAAATGGCTTTAGAATCAAAACTCCTTACCTATAAGTCAGAACTTCAACAAACTTATCCGTTAGAAAATCAACAAATAAAATTTTGATTTTTTGGTATCTTTCGCTTAAGTTTTAAGTTATTAGCGTTGACTTTTATTTTATTTTATTGATAGCCACCAAAATCATAAATCCATTCACATTACTAAGACCCAATATGATAGATAGATCCACATGCATATCTATCTTTATATTCTTTCACATCATGAAAATAAAAAAAAACTATGCATATATGAAGATATGATTCAAAAAGCTTTGTAACAAAATCCCAACGAGCCATGCGTGCATTGGGAGGCTGATAAAAAGGGACAAAGCAAAGGAGCGTGACTTTGATACGGTACCGTATACATATACGCAAAAGTTAAATTTTATTTTCTTGATTTGATTTGATAACGCTCTCTACTCCCAACACGACACATACGTGATACCATCTAAAATTAAATCGTATGTTGGAGTGGAACCCACCGTATTTTTTTCAGAAGTATCTCTTCATTTTTTTTTTACATGTCACTGTCTTTTAAGGTCTAGAAAGGAAATTTATAAACTCTTTCTTGGGTTTTCAGTAACTACACGAAAGAGGGTCCTTTTTTATAATATTTGTTTTTGTTATCTTGTCTTTACGTTTTGATAGGGTATGAAACTATAATGTCCACTTATATATAACATCTGCCACTCGTACCCTCGTGACTCTGCCACATAATGTTACAAAAGACAAAACAAACTTGTAGTTCAAAAGTACAGTTGGGCTCTTAATGCTTGGCTTTTGTGGGTAGCGTTTGGCGTTCTTTTACCAGACGCAAACGCAATCGCTGCTCTAACTATCACCACCCATTATGGATAGATTTTGATTGATCATGTTTAGCTCTACACTAAGAGGATATATCATAACTGCAGATTACAATAGTAGTTGTGTTAGCATGTACTTTTAGATATGAGTCATGCATGTACTTATAAGGTGAAGTATTCGTATATATTAGAATCTACATATCAAAATATCATTGGATATTGTATATAGCAATTCATATATAACAGTCCAAAACATAAATAACCCTGTTGTTACGTCAGTGTAACCGAAGTTATCTCTTCAAGAAAAGGCATTGGCCAATGAGAAGACCACACGAAAAATGTTTTTTTTTGTCCATACCTCATTTAATAACGACGTTTCATCGTTACTATAACGGTTTCTCAATTATTTGTATATCACGATCGCGCTCTGACTCTCACAAACCACAAGGGTTAAACTCCTTCACGTGCTCGTCACGTGCTCTGGGTCCCAATATCTTTTTTGCAACTCCCAAAAAACTAAACATTTCTCTGAGTAATGATTTGTAACAAATCCAGATGTAGCAACTAATGATTCTAACGTAACTTGGGACACGTGCAGGGATTGATCATACTCACGATCCAAGCTCGTACACCGTCTTTGATGCCTCCGTCGTGCGATGGTCCCACGTGTGAAGCTGTGAGTGGTTCACAGGCGGCGATGCTGTTTGGAGGATTGTACCTTGTGGCTTTAGGAGTGGGAGGGATTAAAGGGTCATTGCCATCTCACGGAGCGGAGCAGTTCGATGAGAGCACACCAAAAGGTCGGAAACAGAGGTCAACGTTTTTCAACTACTTCGTGTTCTGTCTTGCTTGTGGAGCACTCGTGGCCGTTACGTTCGTGGTTTGGTTAGAAGACAACAAAGGATGGGAATGGGGATTTGGTGTCTCTACCATCGCTATCTTCCTCTCGATTCTCATATTTCTCTCTGGTTCAAGCTTTTACAGGAACAAGATCCCTCTTGGAAGTCCTCTCACCACAATCTTGAAGGTTTGTTTTTGATATCTTTGATTCTTGATACTTTGAGATTTGAGAGTTAACGTGTGCTTTAAGTAATGTATATGATTTTATTTCTATTTTTAGGTTCTTCTTGCGGCTTCGGTTAAGAGCTGCACGAGTGGAAACTCAAGCAATGCAGTTGTGAATTTGGCTATTAGCCCCTCTAATCATTGTGTACCAAAGGGTAAAAAAGAAGTTGTTGTTGAGTCAGAAGGAGAGCTTGAAAAGTCACGTCATGATGAAGAAGTTTTGCCTTCTCAGGCACAACTAACCAACAGTTTAAGATTCTTGAACAGAGCTGCGGAGGAGAAGCCGGACCATAGATTGTTAAACTGTACGATCCAACAAGTCGAGGATGTGAAGATTGTGCTCAAAATGCTTCCGATATTTGCATGCACCATCATGCTCAACTGTTGCTTAGCTCAGCTCTCTACATTCTCCGTCCAACAAGCTGCTTCGATGAACACAAAGATAGTAAACCTAAAGATCCCTCCAGCTTCATTACCAGTCTTCCCCGTGGTTTTCATCATGATCCTCGCACCTATCTACGACCATATCATCATCCCATTCGCTCGGAAAACAACCAAAACCGAAACAGGAGTCACTCATCTGCAAAGAATCGGTGTAGGTTTAGTTCTTTCGATATTAGCAATGGCCGTTGCAGCTCTCGTGGAGATCAAACGGAAAGGAGTGGCGAAAAACGCCGGCTTGCTTGACTCGCAAGAAACCTTACCAGTCACATTCTTATGGATTGCTCTTCAATATCTCTTTCTAGGGTCAGCTGATCTATTCACACTAGCTGGTTTGCTAGAGTATTTCTTCACAGAAGCACCATCTTCTATGAGATCTTTAGCAACATCGCTTTCTTGGGCTTCGTTGGCAATGGGATATTACCTAAGCTCGGTGATCATTTCGATAGTGAACAGCATAACGGGGAGCTCAGGGAACACTCCTTGGCTCAGAGGAAAAAGCATAAACCGTTACAAGCTTGACTATTTCTATTGGCTAATGTGTGTTCTAAGTGCAGCTAACTTCTTGCACTATCTCTTCTGGGCAATGCGTTACAAGTACAGATCAACAGGTTCGAGAAGCTAATTAAATATGCGTGGTTTAAACTTTTGAGGGTTTTTCATTAGAGGGAAAAGGAGAAGAAATGTTTTTTTTTTCTTTTACTTCATCGGCTTGATATTTAAGAGATGAATGTGGGTAATGTTAGTGATGTTGTGCTTTAAAGTATATAGTGGAGGGATATTGGAGGTTTTTTTCTTTCTTTATCGTTGGACAAGGAATGTACAGCGAATGATAATGATATTAACTTGCAATTAGTCTTACTTTGAATCGTTTCTTGTGCTTTACGAAATCGAGCTAATGTTGCCCTAAACCGCTTAAGCCAAAAACAACTTGATCTTGGTCGAGAGAAGCTTGCAAACATGATCTTATAAACTGTGGCACAACAAGTAACTGGCCTAATTCAAACAAGATGTATATAACTCAAAAGTAGTAGGTGGATGCATAAAACGAAAAATAACTAAAGAATATAGATATTATTTTTAAAATCAAAATATGTGAACCAAACTTGGCACATAATTAAAAACAAATGGCCACCATACGTTCGTTGAATTTCCATAAAGACACGAACTGTATGTAGGTTCATCAACATAAGGTGTTTCTGTGTAATATCCACCGTCTTCTCCAATAGTGTATACCATATTCATGCTACTCTTACGACTGATACCACAACACAGGACCACCTTCTTCTCTTCGTTGATTAAACAACTCACAAAATAAGAATTAATCAAATCACAGGGAGTGTTCTTGAAATCCACTGTAAACGATTTGCTCCACGACAATGCTTCTTCAGTCGTATCAATTTTATTGGTCACCCAAATCTCCAAGTTTTGTGAAGCAGAGGAGTTACGTAACACTGAGAGTTGTTCTTCTCTGACAACTGATAGAACGGTGGTACAGGCAGCAATACTCATAAATGGCGGAAGAGACAAACGTGTGAATCTCTCGGTTGTAAAATAAAACATGAGTACGAATTGATATCTTTCTTTCCTATCAAAAGCAATCCAGAAAGTGTTTCCCTTTACAGAAAAAGAATGTCGCTCAACGGCGCAGTCAAGAGGGATTTCATCAAGAAATCTCCACGAATCAGAGCTTAACTCAAAGATTTCATACCTATCGTTTATTTGGTAGTCTAGAGAAGTCCAATACCTCAAGATCTTGTAGCTACGGAAAGATTTTTTGTGTCGGTATCCAAGAACAAACCTAGAGCAACTCGTGTAACTAGTTTTACTTTTTGGTTGTATCCACCTGGTCTCTCCTAAACACGGATTCCAAACCACGACTTTATAGTCTTTCGTGGTGCATAACAACAAACCATCGCAGTGGGAAACTTTGACTATATCGACTTCTTCTGAATTAGAATGGTTTTCCTTCTTTAGGCCAAGTGCACCCTTAAATTCTAAAGATGGAGAAGCAACGTTGAGATTGAGTTTGACGTTACAAACCCTATATTCCTTCAGCATGAGAAGGTTTAACTGCTTGGTAGCTTCATGAAACCGCAAGTGCTTCTCGATGAATCTTTGGTCTTTGAATAAAGCGTTCCATCGTTTGCAAATAGATCGTAGTCGTTTCAGAGATATGGCTGGAACTTTAGCGAGTATTTCTTCTACCAAATCCAGTGGAAGATCGGGAATCATCATTGTTTCTCTAGGTAAAATAATACGAGGCAGGCTCTCTAACTAAATAGAACTAGGGTTTTGATTGCATATTTATACTATTATTTAGACAAAAAAAAAGACACATCCGTTTTAATTGAATTAGGGTTTCCTATGTGGATTGTTGTATACTAAACGTACTATTACGAGGTGGTTGGCCCTAGCTAATGTTTGTTTTGTGAATACTTTTGCGTTTTGATTATATAATGTAGTACATCCTTTGCCTTGAGGAATTTGAAATAAATAAATTGTAATGTTTGTGTGTGTAAAATAGCTGAGAAACGATGAGTCGTAGGCCCATGGATCGTTAAACATGGTCCTGAAAGATAATTATGGTTAATGTAATGTTTTGGTATGTAGTAGATTCAGTTTTCAGTTTTTTCACTCAATAGCAAGTGTGTTTTCATATAAAACAATTGACTGTTTTTTTTTCAGTTAACTAAAAAAAGTTAGTATTTTGTTCTTTCATTTCCACGTATTGGAAAAATATGTCACCTTATCTATGATTATTATATAGAAGTAAGAGAAATTTTTAGATATAAATGAAACTACATCCTGTTAATCTCTTTGTAAGTTAGAAAACGACCAACTAACTAGTTTCATGACACTATGCGTATAGATTGAGATATTAAATTCTCCCTTAATTCCATCCATAATTTCTTTTTCAAAACTTGAATTCCTTTGTTAAAGAAACCAGAAGACGTGATTATGACACAATATGTTTATAGATTGAGAAAATTAAACCCCCATAAATTCCTTGAACTCCGCGTCATGTATCTTCACCGTTGAGATACCGTTGAGATCTTTAATTACAAAAAGGAAAACAAATTGATCTCTCACGATCCTACAAATTAGGAGACATAACTGGAGAAATGGAAATGTGGGGAAATCAATCAAAATCCCCTATCACTTAGGAAACACTAATAAACGTGTTTCTTCTTTTCACTTCGACGAGTTCATTTTTTGGTAGTGGGAAGAAGATTCGGTTTCCTTGATCAACCCGTCATTTTAGGTTGTACTACAAAATATCATCATTTAATTGCATAAATATTCTGTTTTACTGTAATCAGTGTGTATATAAAGAAAAACTCTTTCGGTCTTTCCTTTTTTTTTTGGTAATTCTTTCGGTCTTTCCTTTGTTAAACAAAAAAAAAACTTAAAATATATCAAAGCAATAATATCTCAAATCTAACGAAACAAGTCCACTTAGTTATTTATGTACATCGTGGAGCTAAAATAACGAGTGGAGCTAAACAATTATTTAATTAAAAAGGAAATAAAAAATAAGGTGAAAATCCGAAATTGATATTTATTCTCCCGCTTATGCACACATTTCTCCAAAACTTTAGAAACTCACAAATACAGTTTCTTTCTTCCTCCCTAGTGGCTCCTCCTATTCATCTTCTTCTTCTCCGACGATGAAATCGGATCCGCGTACCAGTAAAAGAGCCATGAAACGAGCTGAACCTGACCAGGAACTGGCATTTTTCGGAAAACCAATACCTCTAGAAGAAGCTAAAAGCAAATGGCCAGATCGCTACAATTATCCAAAGCCTAGAACAACCAAAATCGTCAAATCTTCAAAAAAGAAGAAGGTGGTTTTGCGTTTTACTACTGTTAAAATTCTTTGAAACTTGTTAATTTTTGTTGTTCATAATCAATCAATCTCCTTTTTAGGTACAGGGACGATGAAAACAAATTCGCAAAGTGTCACTTCCGTCAAGCCATTGTTGATGGAGTTGTCCTCAATCTTGGAGACGATGTCTATATTACGGTATGTTTGTAGTTCTAATGATTGCGTTGCGCCATTTAAAACATTAATCAAGAAAATGAATTTTCTTGATCCAGGGAGAAAAAGGCGAGCCGAATTACTTAGCCAAGATCGTGGAATTTTTCGAAACTGTAGAAAGAGAACCTTACTTCAGAGGTCAATGGTTTTTCAGAACAGAAGACACTGAGATTTTAGAATTCTTTTCCATTTTTTTGTAGAATTTTCAAATTTTCATCCTCTTCATTTATCATGCTGCTAATTTGATGGTGTTTGTTTCTATGTAAATCTTGTAGGTAATCAAAACTCTTGCAAAAACAGTAGATGGATTGAGAAAAAAGAGAGTGTTTCTATCCAGTTTTGAGGAAGATAATCACCTCAACTGTATCGAAACCATTGTCAACATTGTTAAAGTCCCACCACTTTATGTAAGTCTTTTCTTTTCTTATCAATGAGTTCATCTACATTTTCTTTTCTTAACACTTTTTTATTTTCTTTTATTACAGACTGTTTCAGGAACTGATGAGAGTCATATACCTCCATGTGATCTCTACTACGACTCAATGAAATATGAGACATCACACATGACCTTTATAAATGAACCTGATAAAAATCTTGGTAAATAGTTTCTAACATTATCTTTATTATTATATGATCACTATGTTGTTCAACGTTTGGTTTTCTGTATTTGTAATCTTCAAAAAAGTGATGATTTATTTTTTCTTTGTATTTAACAAAAATCTCTACACAGAGAGTGTTGTTGCACCATCAACAGATTCAAGTAAATGGGAATTAGTGTGCGTTGAAGAAGATAAAAACAAGGATGAAAAGTACTTATTGGATCTTTACTGTGGCTGTGGTGCAATGTCTACTGGTCTTACCATGGGAGCTTCCTTGTCAGGCGTCAAACTGATAACGGTTAAAACATATTTTTTACTGTTATACTAATGTTATTCACAGCATGTTGTGTTTTTGAGCTAGAATTTTTTTTACTTGTGATTCTTGCAGAAATGGGCGGTTGATATTAACAAAGACGCTTGTGAGAGTATGAAACTTAACCACCCTGAAACTGAGGTGGTAAATGAAGCTGCTGAAGACTTTCTAACTTTGCTCAAAGAATGGAACAAGCTATGCGAGAAGTTTGGACTTATTCCTTGTACCGAGCCAATAGAACCAGATAGTGATGATGAAGATGAAGAAGAAGACGAAGAAAGTGATGATGCTGCTATGGATATTCAGTGGAATGAAGTCCCACCAGATGAATTTGAGGTTGATAAGTTTCTTGCTATTGTTTATGGAAATCCCAAGAAACCTAAGGGAAATCCTCCTTCTGCTCTTTATCTTCGGGTAACAACTTTATAAATCTTGAGTGCTCATTAGGTTAACTTTGTAAGATGTAATACAAACATTTTTTGTTTCAATACTCTCAGGTCCATTGGAAAGGATATGGTCCTGAGGAAGATACATGGGAACCTTTTGAGGAATTTGGGTAACTTTTTTATATTACTCTCTTTTTTTTTGCATTGATATTTTTATCGTTACTTATATATATATTTACACCAGAAAATGCAAAAAGAAGTTGAAGGAGTTTGTCACAAATGGTTTTAAGAACAAGATCTTGCCTCTTCCTGTAAGTCTCTTCTCACTTGCTTTGAATAGTCTTGTCTCTTTTCATCAACAACACTTTAACTACATCATCTCAAGTTCTTGATTTATGTTTTTATTTTCAGGGTAGTGTTCACTTTATGTGTGGAGGTCCTCCATGTCAAGGTGTTAGTGGATTCAACCGACACAGAGACAAAGAAACACCGCTCGAAGATAAGAAAAACGAGCAGATGAAGATCTACATGAACATCGTCAACTACCTGAAGCCAAACTACGTCCTCATGGAAAACGTAGTCGATCTCATAAATTTTTCTGATGGGTTTCTTGGCCGTTACGCTGTAGCTCGTCTCGTTGCGATGCACTATCAAGCAAGGTTAGGAGTGATGGCTGCTGGCTCTTATGGTCTTCCACAAATCAGAGACAGAGTGTTCCTTTGGGGTGCTTTGCCAACAGAGGTACAAAAATTCTTTTACATAATATTATGATAAATGTTACCACTTAAAGTTTGACTTAATTTGCTCTCTTTGGTTGACAGAAACTGCCTCCATACCCTTTTCCTACTCATGAGCTTCTCCGCAAAAGCAGGAACATCCCTAGAGAATTTCATGCAAGTTATTATTTTTTTTTTTTTTTGTGTGAATATCATAGAGTCTTTACATTATTATTTCATTGCTTATGAATTTTCTTGTAAATGCATGCAGGAGATTAAAGTTACACCTCAAGTTGGTGTTGAGTTAGAGAAGGCTCTTACTCTTGCAGATGCAATAAGTGATCTCCCATCAGTGTGTATTCTAAAACCTAATAAATGTACTTTGTCTTTGTCTATCTATTTTCGTTATTCACTTCTTCTTTTTTTTATGCTGTAGGTAACAAATGATGAGAAGAGCTACGAGTCAAGTCTTCAAACAGAGTTTCAGAAGTGCATCAGTCTTACAAGAGCTGGTGAGAATCATTAAAACACAAATAGAATTTGAGGGACTTGAGGCTTTACCTAATAATACTAACGAGCATTTCTTGTTTCCAGAAAAAGATGGTGGAGATTTCTCAAAGGCACTAGTGGTGTTTGATCACCAGCCTTTGCATCGGAGAGCTGATGACTATGAACGGATTTGTCAGATTCCAAAGAAGCAGGTTTGTTCTATCTTTTTTGTGTGATATGAAAGTAACTTGATTTTAAGTGTTCAACAAGTAATCATCATCTTTTGTTCATGTTATTGTAGGGTGCTAACTTCAGAGACTTGCCTGGTCTTATCGTTGATGAAAAGAGAAAGAGCGTAAGATTTGACCCTTCCGTAGAGCGAGCAAGAGTGAAATCTGGAAAGTTTCTGGTATGAAATGATGATTCCGTTCCAAGCCTTTAATATTTTTTCTTCTTTCTTGAAGCTTCTTTATGACATTTCTTTGTGGTTTTTTATCAGGTTCCTAATTATGCAGTGTCATTCAAACGTGGAACCTCAAAGAAGTGACTTTTCTCTTTAACTGATTTCCTTTTTTTCTCCATAATTAGATTCACTAAAAGTAATCTCAATGTATAGGCCATTTGGGAGACTTTGGTGGGATGAGATTGTGAATACGATTGTGACAAGAGCAGAGCCGCACAATCAGGTAAAACAAAAAATATCAAATCATTTGTTTCATTTCTTGGTCTTTTGAATTTATGTAGTGAAACCTGTTTTGTGATGTTTAAAAACTTGCAGTGCGTGCTCCATCCGTTGCAAGATCGTGTGTTGACTGTTCGTGAGAATGCAAGAATTCAAGGGTTTCCTGATTTTTACAAGCTTTGTGGCAAAGTAAAGGAGAAGTAAGTTTGGTTATTTGAAGTTTCTCTTGCTTGCTGTCTTGTTTTCCAAGATTTTGGTGTTGAATGTGTTTGTTTTTTCCAGATACATTCAGGTTGGAAATGCAGTGGCAGTTCCAGTTGGGATTGCGTTAGGTTATGCTTATGGAATGGCGAGTCAAAGACGTACAGATGATAAGCCTGTGATAAAGCTTCCCTTCATGTATCCTCAATGTATGATGGACATGGTAATTCCTGAGGAGATGGAGGAGCAAGAGATGATGGTAAATGCTGATGAGGAGCTAGAGATGATGCTAACTTGGGGAGGAGGTAAAGGAAGAAGAAGTCGTAGAAGAAGAAGAATAGGAAGAAGAAGACTTTGTTCGGTTTGGTTTTAGATTCGTTTTGAACAAACAAAATTTGTGTTTAAGTAATTTGGATTTTTCTCTCAGATTCTATGTTTAGACTTATTGATTAATTAAACAGTTTTTAGTTTCTTTTAGTCTTTATACTTCAAACTTAATGATTGATTGATGCATGATGACATGTTTTGCTTAGAACAACTTTACGTCACCTATTTGCAAGCATATGGTTTGGTTTAGATTAATATAAAACACAAACACAAGTGGTACATGTTGTTGTCTTGTGCCGTTGAGCTACTTGTCAAAAACCAATATTGCTGTGAGTTGAAGACTATTTGATCAAAAACCACTTTGGAACCAAAAAAAATGTTGAGGAATCTATCTTTCTAAAAAATAAATGAGTAAAGAAACACTAAACGGATAAGAACTATTTTTTTTAGTATTATGGTAAAATAATTCGTGGAATAATCCAAATAGAAATTATAGAAAAATTATGTTAAAAAATCCGCACACCGATTTATAACAACAACAACTCGGTTTCGTCTTTGATAAATCTCCTAAATAACAAAAACAAAAACAAAATTGATTTGCTTCGAGTAATTTCGCCGAAACTTCCTTCGTGCCCTTCCATTGTAATTTCCACCTAACTTTCTCCTCTACTTCTTCCTCTTCGTATTTGGTTTTGCTTAGCTTTATATATATTCGGGTCTCCGTTTCTTAATATCACAAAGATTCTGTAATTTCCCTGATTCCTTCACTCGTTTTAGATCTCTCTGCTCGTCTCGGTAAAATAATTTTCTTTCGCTACTGTTTGATTCTTGTGTGGACCCCTTTTGGATGATTGACTGGTTTTAGTTTCTGCTAATATCATATTACAGAGTCAATATTTTAAGGTTATCTTATAGAATCTGAGTGGACTTTTCCGTTGAAAAATTGGGTTTTTTTTAATCATTGCCTTGTCCTTAGTTAATCATAGATCTAAGAGAAGACAAATTTTGAATCGTTCTTTTGACTTTGTCTATGGTTTAGAATCTCTGCCTTGTTCTCTTCTTTGATAGAGATTTTATATACTTGACTTGATGATTTCAGCTTTAAAGTTTGAGTCTTTCTGCTTTGATAGAGATTTTAGACACTTGACTTGATGATTTCAGCTCTAAAAGTTTTAGTCTTTCTGCTTTGATAGAACTTTTATATACTTGACTTGATGATTTCAGCTCCAAAGTTTTAGTCTTTCTGCTTTGGTAGAGATTTTATATACTTTGACTTGATGATTTCAGCTCTAAAATTTTAATCTTTCTGCTTTGATAGAGATTTTGTATACTTTATTTGATGATTTCAGCTCTAAAGTTTTAGCCTTTCTGCTTTGATTGATNGAAAACGTAGTCGATCTCATAAATTTTTCTGATGGGTTTCTTGGCCGTTACGCTGTAGCTCGTCTCGTTGCGATGCACTATCAAGCAAGGTTAGGAGTGATGGCTGCTGGCTCTTATGGTCTTCCACAAATCAGAGACAGAGTGTTCCTTTGGGGTGCTTTGCCAACAGAGGTACAAAAATTCTTTTACATAATATTATGATAAATGTTACCACTTAAAGTTTGACTTAATTTGCTCTCTTTGGTTGACAGAAACTGCCTCCATACCCTTTTCCTACTCATGAGCTTCTCCGCAAAAGCAGGAACATCCCTAGAGAATTTCATGCAAGTTATTATTTTTTTTTTTTTTTGTGTGAATATCATAGAGTCTTTACATTATTATTTCATTGCTTATGAATTTTCTTGTAAATGCATGCAGGAGATTAAAGTTACACCTCAAGTTGGTGTTGAGTTAGAGAAGGCTCTTACTCTTGCAGATGCAATAAGTGATCTCCCATCAGTGTGTATTCTAAAACCTAATAAATGTACTTTGTCTTTGTCTATCTATTTTCGTTATTCACTTCTTCTTTTTTTTATGCTGTAGGTAACAAATGATGAGAAGAGCTACGAGTCAAGTCTTCAAACAGAGTTTCAGAAGTGCATCAGTCTTACAAGAGCTGGTGAGAATCATTAAAACACAAATAGAATTTGAGGGACTTGAGGCTTTACCTAATAATACTAACGAGCATTTCTTGTTTCCAGAAAAAGATGGTGGAGATTTCTCAAAGGCACTAGTGGTGTTTGATCACCAGCCTTTGCATCGGAGAGCTGATGACTATGAACGGATTTGTCAGATTCCAAAGAAGCAGGTTTGTTCTATCTTTTTTGTGTGATATGAAAGTAACTTGATTTTAAGTGTTCAACAAGTAATCATCATCTTTTGTTCATGTTATTGTAGGGTGCTAACTTCAGAGACTTGCCTGGTCTTATCGTTGATGAAAAGAGAAAGAGCGTAAGATTTGACCCTTCCGTAGAGCGAGCAAGAGTGAAATCTGGAAAGTTTCTGGTATGAAATGATGATTCCGTTCCAAGCCTTTAATATTTTTTCTTCTTTCTTGAAGCTTCTTTATGACATTTCTTTGTGGTTTTTTATCAGGTTCCTAATTATGCAGTGTCATTCAAACGTGGAACCTCAAAGAAGTGACTTTTCTCTTTAACTGATTTCCTTTTTTTCTCCATAATTAGATTCACTAAAAGTAATCTCAATGTATAGGCCATTTGGGAGACTTTGGTGGGATGAGATTGTGAATACGATTGTGACAAGAGCAGAGCCGCACAATCAGGTAAAACAAAAAATATCAAATCATTTGTTTCATTTCTTGGTCTTTTGAATTTATGTAGTGAAACCTGTTTTGTGATGTTTAAAAACTTGCAGTGCGTGCTCCATCCGTTGCAAGATCGTGTGTTGACTGTTCGTGAGAATGCAAGAATTCAAGGGTTTCCTGATTTTTACAAGCTTTGTGGCAAAGTAAAGGAGAAGTAAGTTTGGTTATTTGAAGTTTCTCTTGCTTGCTGTCTTGTTTTCCAAGATTTTGGTGTTGAATGTGTTTGTTTTTTCCAGATACATTCAGGTTGGAAATGCAGTGGCAGTTCCAGTTGGGATTGCGTTAGGTTATGCTTATGGAATGGCGAGTCAAAGACGTACAGATGATAAGCCTGTGATAAAGCTTCCCTTCATGTATCCTCAATGTATGATGGACATGGTAATTCCTGAGGAGATGGAGGAGCAAGAGATGATGGTAAATGCTGATGAGGAGCTAGAGATGATGCTAACTTGGGGAGGAGGTAAAGGAAGAAGAAGTCGTAGAAGAAGAAGAATAGGAAGAAGAAGACTTTGTTCGGTTTGGTTTTAGATTCGTTTTGAACAAACAAAATTTGTGTTTAAGTAATTTGGATTTTTCTCTCAGATTCTATGTTTAGACTTATTGATTAATTAAACAGTTTTTAGTTTCTTTTAGTCTTTATACTTCAAACTTAATGATTGATTGATGCATGATGACATGTTTTGCTTAGAACAACTTTACGTCACCTATTTGCAAGCATATGGTTTGGTTTAGATTAATATAAAACACAAACACAAGTGGTACATGTTGTTGTCTTGTGCCGTTGAGCTACTTGTCAAAAACCAATATTGCTGTGAGTTGAAGACTATTTGATCAAAAACCACTTTGGAACCAAAAAAAATGTTGAGGAATCTATCTTTCTAAAAAATAAATGAGTAAAGAAACACTAAACGGATAAGAACTATTTTTTTTAGTATTATGGTAAAATAATTCGTGGAATAATCCAAATAGAAATTATAGAAAAATTATGTTAAAAAATCCGCACACCGATTTATAACAACAACAACTCGGTTTCGTCTTTGATAAATCTCCTAAATAACAAAAACAAAAACAAAATTGATTTGCTTCGAGTAATTTCGCCGAAACTTCCTTCGTGCCCTTCCATTGTAATTTCCACCTAACTTTCTCCTCTACTTCTTCCTCTTCGTATTTGGTTTTGCTTAGCTTTATATATATTCGGGTCTCCGTTTCTTAATATCACAAAGATTCTGTAATTTCCCTGATTCCTTCACTCGTTTTAGATCTCTCTGCTCGTCTCGGTAAAATAATTTTCTTTCGCTACTGTTTGATTCTTGTGTGGACCCCTTTTGGATGATTGACTGGTTTTAGTTTCTGCTAATATCATATTACAGAGTCAATATTTTAAGGTTATCTTATAGAATCTGAGTGGACTTTTCCGTTGAAAAATTGGGTTTTTTTTAATCATTGCCTTGTCCTTAGTTAATCATAGATCTAAGAGAAGACAAATTTTGAATCGTTCTTTTGACTTTGTCTATGGTTTAGAATCTCTGCCTTGTTCTCTTCTTTGATAGAGATTTTATATACTTGACTTGATGATTTCAGCTTTAAAGTTTGAGTCTTTCTGCTTTGATAGAGATTTTAGACACTTGACTTGATGATTTCAGCTCTAAAAGTTTTAGTCTTTCTGCTTTGATAGAACTTTTATATACTTGACTTGATGATTTCAGCTCCAAAGTTTTAGTCTTTCTGCTTTGGTAGAGATTTTATATACTTTGACTTGATGATTTCAGCTCTAAAATTTTAATCTTTCTGCTTTGATAGAGATTTTGTATACTTTATTTGATGATTTCAGCTCTAAAGTTTTAGCCTTTCTGCTTTGATTGATTCCAGGAAAACGAAAAAAAAGATGGGTCAAGTTTTGGGATGTGTTCAAGTTGATCAGTCTACAGTAGCAATCAAGGAGACTTTTGGGAAATTCGACGATGTTCTTGAGCCAGGTTGTCACTGCTTGCCATGGTGCTTGGGGAGTCAAATCGCTGGTCACCTCTCGCTCCGTGTTCAACAGCTCGACGTTCGCTGCGAGACCAAAACCAAGGTATCTTCTTGAGAGACATTGCCTTCTCTTTTGTGTTCTTCAATGATTGAGACATTGAAAGATTGTTGATTTCTTTGTTTGTTTTAGGATAATGTGTTTGTCACTGTGGTGGCTTCAATCCAATACCGAGCCTTAGCTCAGAGTGCTCAAGATGCTTTCTACAAGCTCAGCAACACGAGGAATCAGATTCAAGCATACGTCTTTGACGGTTTGTTCTTCAATTCAATATCCTTCCTTTTGGTTTCTTGATTGTTGTTCTGTTTTGACTTATAATAACTTTGATTTTGTTTGTGCAAAAGTGATCCGAGCAAGTGTACCTAAGCTGGATCTTGACTCAACCTTTGAGCAGAAGAACGACATTGCCAAAACCGTTGAGAGTGAGCTTGAAAAGGTAAACACTCAACCACATCTCCTTGAGCTAAAGTTTAGACCTTTACATGAAAATATTGACTCTGTTTGCTGCTGGGTTAGGCTATGTCGCATTACGGGTATGAGATTGTTCAGACGCTCATCGTCGACATCGAGCCTGATGTTCACGTCAAGAGGGCAATGAATGAGATCAATGCTGGTATGTAAACTATTCTCATTGTTGAGTTACAAAGTTTTCGACTTTAGTCATTTAACATTGTTTCTGGATGACACGCAGCTTCAAGAATGAGGGAGGCAGCGACTGAGAAAGCTGAAGCAGAAAAGATACTGCAGATCAAGAGAGCCGAGGGAGAAGCTGAGTCCAAGTACCTTTCGGGGATGGGTATTGCTCGTCAGAGGCAAGCCATTGTGGACGGTCTGAGGAACAGCGTGCTCGCTTTCTCCGAGACTGTTCCAGGGACTTCTTCTAAAGACGTGATGGACATGGTTTTGGTGACGCAATACTTTGACACGTTGAAGGAGATCGGTGCGTCTTCCAAGTCGAACTCTGTGTTTATACCGCACGGTCCGGGAGCTGTTAGGGACATTGCTACACAGATCAGGGACGGTCTTCTTCAGGGTAACGCTGCTTCTGAGTAAGAGAGAGGTCTCAAGAAGTATAAAGCTTTCTTCTTCAGGGTTTTAGTTGTGTTGGCTTTCTTTTATTTTTGTGAAATTCTTATGGAGTCTTAAAATACTTATCGTTTGGATTGTTCTCGGCTTGTGGATTGGATCATCTTCTTCAGAAGGTTTTGGAGATATGTCTTTGGCTTTGATAAATATGTGACACACTTTTGGTTTTTATGGAATTGAATTTGAATTTAAACCAAGTATCTTTTTAGACAATGCATATATGTCCCATTTTTGCCCAAACCTTTAGATCTTTATATAATAAACCAAAGTTAATCTCTCTTATTATTGTCTCAGAAAATAGCTCCATGATACAACCATTGAGCTAACAGATGTAAAATGTTGAACTTCAAGTGTTTGTAATTTTGTGAATTGTTTAGTTCAAAGAAAAATTTAGTATCCAATGAAATGCTCTGTTTTGGTCACTCTACTCTGCTTTATCCTCTGTTTTGATGCTCTCTTTTTTTGACTACTCAAAATCAAAAGTTTAACTAGTCTTTATCATAAAACTCAAAACCTTTTTACTTTTTTTTGTTCCCACTAGAAACAACAAAAATTAGTCTAGTAGGAAGAGGACGACAAACTAATAATCTCCTAACGTCAAAACGACAAGGCAAAAAACGTCAAACGACGACACCAACACAACTCTGCTGTCGTCTCAACTCTTTCCTCAGCTTATGAGAGAACAACTTACAAGCATCCATGCTAAGATCCACCGCCGCTGCAAGTGCCACGTGCGCCGCCGCATCCTCCGTGCATGTCACGTGCTTCACACCTACCTCCACCTTAGGCTCGCTCTGTTTCTCCACTCCTCCCACCACCGCCGACATGACAAACCCTAAATCCCGCTTCGCTTGGGGCAGAAGAAACCCGAAATCCGACCCGGTTCCTGAACACGTTCTTGATGATCCGGCACTCGAAAGATCGAAACTTCCCGCCGCGCTAGTCAAACACGAAGCAGCAGCAGCCGTCGTTCCGTCAATGACGAAACTTCCGCCGACTTTTGTACCGATCGACGACGAAACAGAGATCGCAGTAGCGACACCGTCTTGAAAAAGCTCGAAACGGTAGCCGAGAACGTCGGAGGAGATTCCTGGCTCACGCCACGCCTCGAGCCGACCCCACGGCTTCATCGTGTAGCCGTCAGGTCGGAGGATTAGCCAAGCGCCGGGGTTAGACCGAGTCACGCGGTTAGAACCGGGAGATGGAACAAACGGTGTGACCATTGAAGCTATTGCTACTGGTGAGCCGGAGAGATCATGGATTGTTATCGTCCAACCTTTTCTCTCTTTCAAAGTCTGCTCCTTTCCATTGATCAACGACGACGACGATAAGCTGCAGAAATTTGAGCAACAAAAAAGTTAAAAAGATTGAATTTTCTTTATTGATAGTAGTAAACAGAGCATAAGTGAAAGGTTATATCTTTAAAAGCTATGATTTTGAAATCAGAAGTGAAAGATTGAAAATTTACTGACCTGGGACAAAGATTCCGGTCACCGGAGTTTCTGAAACCGAATTTGCAAGTGAAGACAGCTTGTTTTGTGTTTCCTTGGACCTGAAAAATCTGAGGACTACACTCGGGCTCGCCGTCGAATTGAAATACATATCTCGGGTCGGGTTCAACCCGAACGCTAACGTGGAGCTCCGGATCCGACCCGGGCTTGTTCTTCGTCTTCTTAGTGCCCAAATCAACCCAGCCGTTATGAGCCAGACACGTCTTTGTCTCCGCCGATTTCAAATCAAGCGAAACATCGAACCGACCAATCAGCTTCTCGCCGGAATTCGCGACGAATCCGCACGACGCGCCGCCGCGAGTGTAAATCTCGATGGAGAGGATGCTCCATTTAGGTTTTTTGAGTGACGTCTCGGTCTGGGTTTTGCTTAGAGTGAAGCAAGCTGCGAACTTTGAGACGTTACCGGAGCTTCGGGGCTCCGATTCGGATTCCGTTCGGAAGAGAACGGGAACAGAGACGATTTGGCGTGGGAAGCTCTTGAATTTGATTTTACAGTAGCAATTGCCTGATGATACGTCGGAAACAGACTGTCCCGATGAAGAATTCGACGACGAAGAAGAAGACGACGATGGTTCCGGGAACCTAACTGCCAAATTGCCGATGATGATACGTACGTAAGAGCACGGATCCATTGAAATTTGAATTCTCCGTGAATGTCAAATAAGTGAGAGCAATGCAAAAGAAAGTAACGCTAAAACCTCAGTGAGTTAGGGTTTAAGTGAATTGGAGTAGAAACGGTGAGGAGGAAGAAAGGTATTTGAAGAAGGGAAGCTGTAAAAAAATGGAAATTTGGTGAGGAAGAAACAGGCTGGAAAATAAATAATTTCCAAAAATTTTGGTTTTATATCAGATTTTGTGGGGTCCAAAGTCAAACTCACCTGTTAGATTCCAGAGAGGCAGATAAAAAATTCCTATATTAATTTTATTTTATTTTCTGAAATTCACATTTGTTATTTCTTACCCCTTTTCAAATGATTTTTTTTTTTTATCATATTTTTTTTTTCCTTCCCTTTTAATGAAGTGTACAGTATTTCTTAGCTGTGTGTGCTGAATAATGTTGTTCTGCTATTTTACAATTTTGATAAGGTTCTGGAATTGTTCATGTATTTATATGGTATGTGTTTTCTCTTTACAAGGAAATATATCAAAAAAATCAAACAAGAAGCTGAATGTATCTTTGGTGGTCTCTTGTGTGTATGTATTATTAACTCATGTTTATCTGGCCTTCATGTATGAACATACACAATTTTTGGTATGTATGTACATTTTTGTGGTTTTAGTGACCTTTTACACGTGTTGGTGTTTCTAATATTATTGAGAACAAGGCTGAATATATGAGTTTGAAACAGATGTTTATTTCAAGAATATTTCAACGTTAAAGTTAAAAGAGGATTAGAAAAAAGCTTAAGCGTAATACAATCACATTAGCTAGTTTTTTTTTTTTTTTTTTTTTTTTCTTGTCTTTGAGCTCAAAATTGTGAATTAACATATCTTAATTTTTGTATCAGATTGGAATTCATCCCCTATGAAATATTTGAAAACCCTGTTACGTAATTAGTTACGATTTCCTTATAATAATAAAAAAAAAAATAGTTACGATCAAGACAAAACAAAATCGTAAATTTTCAAAAAACACATTTGTTAAATCTTGCCGACGAGGCAGAGAACGGCGAAAAGTGGAGCCCAAAAACGAGCACACGTGGCTTTTCGGGTTGATTATAAGTCGACGCCTACTTTACTCGAATCTCGATAAAGCAATCTTCCCTTTCACCAAAACCAAAAGTTATCGGATCTTTTTGGCACAACAATAATTATCATTTCAACGACTCTTAACCTTAACCTCTTCTTCTTCTTCACTCTCTCGCTTCAAAAAAAATATCTTCTCTTCTTCTTCCTCTTTCTTCTGCTCTCTCTCTCGATCGTACACACGAAAACTCTGCAATGTCCACCGTTCCTATTGAGTCTCTTCTCCACCATTCTTCTCTTCGCCGCCGTAACTCTACAATCTATCGCGGAACTAGAGGAGGCTTTTTGCCCTGCTCGTTGAATCTCAGCCGCCATTTCACTTCGAAGAAGCTCCACTCGGTTGGAAGAAACATCGGCTCCGGCGGCACGAGCTCAGGTCTTCGCAGAAGCTCCGTCGCGATTCGAGCTAGCTCATCGGATACTGCCGTCGTCGAAACCTCTCAATCTGACGATGTCGTCTTCAAGGAAAATTTCCCCGTTCAGCGAATCGAAAAGGTTTTTTCTCAATCCATAGACACATACATTCGCCGTTTTCTCAATTTTAAGGTCAGATTTAGGAAGATTTTTGTTTACATTAAGGTAAAGTAATTGCTCAATCTGGACTGATTTGATTCATTGATTTGTGGATTGACGAGAGTTTTTAGTCTTCGAGCTTTTAAGATCATAGTTTCTGTGTATTTTGCTGATTTTAATGGGTCTTATAGGCAGAGGGAAAGATTTATGTTCGATTAAAGCAAGTGGAGGAGAAGAATTGGGAGCTGAGTGTTGGATGTAGTCTTCCTGGGAAATGGATTTTTCATTGGGGAGTCTCATATGTTGGTGATACTGGCAGTGAATGGGATCAACCTCCTGAAGATATGAGACCACCTGGCTCAATTGCAATCAAGGTACTACTTCTCGGTGTAGATCTCTTTTGGTTATCGTTAGCTTTGGATGATTGTAACATTTTTTGTTTGTTTACGTTGTGTTAGGACTATGCCATTGATACACCTTTGGAGAAGTTATCTGAAGGAGATTCATCTTATGAAGTTACTATCAATCTTGATCTGGAAAGCTCAGTGGCAGCTCTTAACTTTGTTTTGAAGGTTGTTTGCTTAACTCTTTGCAATGAAGGTGATTGTTTTGTTTCCTCTTATATGTGCATTTATTTGGGAATGTTGTTTTCCAGGACGAAGAAACTGGAGCTTGGTATCAGCACAAAGGGAGAGATTTTAAGGTTCCTCTTGTGGACGATGTTCTTGATAATGGCAATTTGATCGGAGCAAAGAAAGGATTTGGTAAGTGGCCGGGAAGTTAGTATTGCAACACACTTTCCTTGTATCTCTAAAATCTGATTAAAGACTTGCTTTCTCTAGGTGCCCTTGGGAAGCTCTCAAATATTGTTCTCGAATCAGATGAGTCCGGTGAAGAAGTTGAAGAAAAGAGCACATCTGATGTTACAAAAGAAAGAAAAGGTCTTGAAGAGTTTTACGAGGAGATGCCGATTAGTAAACATGTTGCTGATGATAACTCAGTCACTGTCACCGCAAGGAAATGCCCTGAAACATCTAAGAATATTGTGACGATTGAAACTGACTTACCGGGTGATGTTACTGTCCACTGGGGAGTCTGCAAAAACGGCAGTAAAAAATGGGAAATTCCAGAGAAGCCTTACCCTGAGGAAACATCTTTGTTTAGGAACAAGGCATTACGCACTCGTTTACAGGTAAGTGTAGCATTTCTGTTTCCATTAGTGACACTGATTAAGTATTTATGCATATGAACATTCTGCAGCGAAAAGACGACGGAAATGGATCTTTTGGATTGTTCTCTCTGGATGGAAAGCTTGAAGGACTGTCTTTTGTTCTGAAGTCAAACGACACTTGGCTAAAAAATAAGGGCGAAGACTTCTATGTCCCTTTCCTTTCTTCAAGTACCTCGCCCGTTAAAACTGAAGCTCCTCAAGTGAGTGGGAAGAAACCAAAAACAAATCAAGAAGTGTCCGCTAGTGGATTCACAGACGAAATCATCACTGAGATAAGGAACTTGGCGATTGACATTTCCTCTCACAAGCATCAGAAGACAAACGTGAAAGAAGTGCAAGAAAACATTCTTCAGGAGATTGAGAAACTCGCTGCGGAGGCGTATAGCATATTTAGAAGCACAACTCCAGCTTTTTCCGAGGAGAGCGTTTTAGAAGCAGAGGCTGAGAAGCCTGAGGAAATCAAAATCTCCTCAGGAACTGGCTCTGGATTTGAGATAGTGTGCCAGGGATTTAACTGGGAATCCCACAAATCTGGCAGATGGTACAAGGAGCTTCAAGAAAAAGCCAAGGAGTTAGCTTCACTTGGCTTCACTGTTCTGTGGCTACCACCTCCTACAGAATCTGTGTCACCTGAAGGGTACATGCCTAAAGACCTGTATAACTTGAATTCCAGGTGAGCTCTCCAAATTGACAAAACTTTCTATTGTTGCTTAGCTGTTTAAAACGTCATCATGAATCTTAAAACTCGGCAGATATGGAACTATTGATGAGCTAAAAGAAACCGTGAGGAAATTTCACAAGGTTGGGATCAAAGTTTTGGGAGATGCTGTTCTGAATCACCGCTGCGCACACTTCAAGAACCAAAACGGTGTTTGGAATCTATTCGGAGGGCGTCTCAACTGGGACGATAGAGCAGTAGTTGCTGATGACCCTCATTTTCAGGTATATCTTTCTCTTTCTTTAGATTAAAAACAATTACAACTTTGATCTTTAAAAGAGAATGTGTTTTTTCTTTGCTTATGATCTTTTAGGGTAGAGGAAACAAGAGCAGTGGAGATAACTTCCATGCGGCTCCAAACATAGACCACTCACAGGACTTTGTTAGGAAGGATATCAAAGAATGGCTATGCTGGATGAGGTTAGCTCCCCTGTTTTTTTCATTCTCTTAATCTCTGGTGATTGGTTTTGGCGTCTGATTTGATTTCACATGCAGAGAAGAAGTTGGTTATGATGGATGGAGGCTTGACTTCGTGAGAGGGTTTTGGGGAGGTTACGTGAAAGACTACATGGACGCAAGCAAACCCTACTTTGCGGTCGGTGAGTATTGGGACTCGTTAAGTTACACGTACGGAGAAATGGACTACAATCAAGACGCGCATCGTCAAAGGATTGTTGACTGGATTAATGCAACCAGTGGAGCTGCTGGTGCATTCGATGTCACAACCAAAGGAATTCTCCACACGGTAACTAATCAAATCTCCATCTTGTAGCTTTTGATATATATATATATATATAACATTTGGTTTTGTGTTTAGGCACTTCAAAAATGTGAGTATTGGAGACTCTCAGACCCGAAAGGGAAGCCTCCAGGTGTTGTTGGATGGTGGCCTTCTCGTGCTGTTACATTTATAGAGAATCATGACACTGGCTCTACTCAGGTTTTTTTTTGTTTCTCATTCTCACCGTTTTTAAAATTTTACCACAAGCTTAACCTTTCTCTTTTTCCATTATAGGGTCATTGGAGATTTCCGGAGGGGAAGGAGATGCAAGGATATGCTTACATCTTGACTCATCCAGGAACGCCGGCGGTTTTCTTCGACCACATCTTCTCCGATTACCGCTCCGAGATTGCTTCTCTTCTCTCTCTCAGGAACAGACAGAAACTCCACTGTCGTAGTGAGGTAAAAAAACTACTATAAACTCACAATCTTTACATTCTTGTACGAAATCTTTGTTAGGTACTAAGTTAGACTCTTTTTTTTTTTTCTTGATTTGGAATTTGTGAAGGTGAATATAGACAAGAGTGAGAGAGATGTGTATGCGGCTATAATCGACGACAAGGTTGCGATGAAGATCGGACCAGGGCATTACGAACCACCAAACGGAGATAAAAACTGGTCTGTAGCCGTTGAAGGAAGAGACTACAAAGTGTGGGAAACGTCTTAAGAGGCGTGTATTTTTTTTTGTATATGTGTGTAGTAAATAAAGATGTTATTTATATATACGTATGATTTTGTTTCACGGAAGAACCATAAGTAAGCTTTAAACCAATTGTTCTTTCTCATTCAGCTTCAAAGTACAATGGTAATTTGTACACTAATACAGTAATACAGTATATAGTACTAAACATGTATTTGGATGTTTGTTTGTGGCTTTTAACTATATCTATCTAAACACACTTTGACGCCAATCTCAGTGGCTTTGGTATGGGCACACTATACAATACATAATCATCAGAGCAAATTCAGAACATCAATCTCTAGAGGCAACAACAATACATGTTACTGTTAGCCTTTTGAACCTCTATCACAGTTCCCAGAAAAATCAAAGCCTTCTCCAAATAGGAAGCTGACATGATCTTTTTTTGGTAACATAAGGAGGACCATTCTAAGAACAAATTCAATTGCAGTAGACTAGTTGCTCCAAGAGCATAATTATCGTTTAAAACTCATAAAGTTTCTTATCTAGTATTCCCTCAATTTCACAAGATAATGGGTTTAAGGTTTTTGTACACATAATAAGAATCTATTTAATTTTTGTACATTTAAAGATAAAACATGTTTCATCACCAATTCCAAAACATTTCAACCAATGACAAAATAATTACAGAATTCAATGAGTCAAAGGCAAACAAAAACACATTTAGTTTTGCATAGAAACTTGAAAACACCTTATAATATTAAAAAAAAAAAAAAAATCTAAAACTCTTATGTTGTGAAAGAGAGGGAGTATTTAATTATAAAAGTTATTTTATGAGAGAGGAGACTGAAGGAAAAAGGGATATTGCATGAGGAAAATGGACGTTTTTTTGTCTTTTTTTGTTAAAGGTCTTCATATTTGGAGAATATAATTAGAGAGAAAGAATGAGATTGCTCAAAAACATATCGATTCGTCATCGTCTCTCACCATTCACCTTTTGAGTTTTCCATTTTTTCAGTTCTGTTGTAAAAGTTCGTCTGAACAATTTCTTGTCTCCAAAAGAGAACAAGATCTTCGAAGAAAGAGACCCGACCGATGAACTGTAAGTTGTTTTTTCTTTTCTTCACTAATTCCAGAAAAAATGGAAAAGCTTCTTCTCCAACTCCTACTTTCTAAGATTAGTTCGATTTGGCTGAAACAGAACTCGTTTTGTTTTGGGAGAATCAAAATCCAAGTTTTTGAGTACTTCTTGTTTGGTTCAGACATAAACAATAAAGTCTTGTTTAGTAGGTTTTGAGCATTTGCATTTAGTTTTTTTCCAGTAACTAATCCATTTTTTAATTTTCTCCATCAGTAGTCACTGCAATGTCTCTGTTTCAAACGGCAACGATCGCTCTTCTTCTAATCGCGTTTCTGCAAAACGCTGCGGCTGAGAAAACAAAGCAACGTATCGTCAAGCATCAAGGCGCGGTTGCCACCGATGATGGTCGGTGTTCCGACGTCGGAATGATGACTCTTCGCCGGGGAGGAAACGCCGTTGACGCGGCGGTTGCTGCTTCTTTCTGTCTAGGAGTTTTGAGCCCCGCATCAAGCGGTCTAGGCGGCGGAGCGTTTATGCTCGTGAAAGAGGCTGGTGGAAAGGAAATAGCATATGACTCGAGAGAAACAGCTCCTCTCAAAGCAACCGAGGTAATGTGTTCTTTTGCTCTCGTACTGAAAAAAAAGCGTTATTTGAAAACACGTTTGCTCTTAGATAAGCGTTTTGAACGAAAATATTGAGGTAAATTAGATTTTTTTCTTAACGTTTTCTCTTACGAAGTATAATTTGTTTTGAACGCGGTTTTTGAGCTTGAATAGCGTTTTTTTTTTCTAAAATTCTTCGTCCTAAATATTCCTTTAACTTATACTCCCTCTATTTCACAATATAAAAGGTTTAAAGTTTTTGCACACAAATTAAAAACCCATTTAAACTTATATTTTCAAAAATAAAATATGTTTTCACATCATTTTCAAGACATTTTAAACAATCAAAAATAATATGCAAAATTCAAAAAGCTAAAAGCAACAAAAACACATTTAGTTTTGCATAGAAACTTGAAAACACCTTATAAAATGAAAAAAAAAACAAAAAACTCTTAGTCTTGTTAAATACACCTTTTTAACTTATACTCCCTCTATTTCACAATATAAGAGGTTTAAGGTTTTCACACACAGATTAAAAACTCATTTAGGTTTTGTATTTTTTAAAATAAAATATGTTTTATCATCATTTCCAAAACATTTTCACAAATCAAAAAATAATATGCAAAATTCAAAAAGCCAAAAACAACAAAAACACATTTAATTTTGCAGAAAAACTTGAAAACATCTTATATTATAAAATGAAATGAAAGAAAAACTCTAAAACCACTTATATTGTGAAAAGAGAGGGAGTATAATGAATCATTATGTTGATGTTTTTATTTGATGTAGAACATGTATGGAGGCAACGATAACGATGATCTGAAGAAGCAAGGAGGCTTATGAGTAGCCGTGTCCGGGCTATTCGCCGCTTGGAAACGGCACGGGAAGCTGCCGTGGAAGAAGTTGATCAAACCGGCGGAGAAACTTGCGTCTAAAGGTTTCGAGATATCGAGATACCTCCACATGCAGATGAACGCAACTCGCGGGGCCATCTTAGCGGACAAAGGTCTCTCTGACCTGTTGGTTTCAAACGGGGAGCTCAAGAAACCAGGGACAGTTATCCGTAACCCGAAGCTGGCTCTAACCTTGAGGCAAATCGGAGAGCATGGTCCTAAGGCTTTTTACAACGGCACCGTTGGGTTAAACCTTGTGAGGGACATCAGTGAATCCGGGGGGATTATAACGATGGAGGATTTGTTGAGCTATAGGGTTAGGGTTAAAGAACCTTTATCCACACGCATTCTCGGATACAGACTTCTCGGTATGCCTCCTCCTTCATCCGGTGGTGCTGCGATGATGTTGGTATGTTTGGTTCATTTGAATTTGATCAGATCTTAGGGTTTTTATTAGTTTCTTGTGTTGCAAGGTTTGAGAATTCTTTCTCTTTATGGGATTCCGTCCGGAGTCTCAGGGCCTCTCGGGGTTCATAGACTAGTTGAGGCCTTGAAACACGCTTTTGCGGTGAGGATGAACCTAGGGGATCCGGATTTCGTCGATGTTACTAAGGTTGTTTCGGATATGTTGTCTCCAAAGTTTGCAAAAGGCTTGAAGAAAAAGATAAACGACGAGAAAACCTTTGATCCAAAACATTACGGCGGCAAGTAAGCTTTTAGCCAGTGATGACAATCGCAGATGATTCCTCAAAGTTTGAATTTATAGATCTTTCTTTGTCCAATTCGTAGGTGGAATCAGATTGAAGATCATGGGACAAGCCATTTGTCGATCATAGATAGCGAGAGGAATGCTGTTTCGATGACTAGTACAATAAACGGTTACTTTGGGGCATTGATGCTATCTCCACGCACCGGAATTGTTCTGAACAACGAAATGGATGATTTCTCGATCCCGCTGAATTCCAGGTAATCCAAAACGTGCGCCACCTCCGGCACCTGGCTAACTTCATCCGTCCCGGGAAACGACCTTTGTCCTCTATGACCCCCACCATTGTACTCCAGGTTAAAAAAACCCTATTACTTGTGATACACGAAACTCTTAATTGGGTTTTTTCATGCGCTGGTTAATGCAGGATGGTAAAGTGAAAGCCGCGGTGGGTGCGAGCGGAGGAGTGAACATCATCGCCGGGACAATCGAGGTTTATTTGAATTACCTTTTCCTCAAGATGGATCCTCTTTCTGCAGTCTTGGCTCCAAGAATCTACCATCAGGTTTTTTTTTTGGCTTTTCCTTTTGTTTCTTCTCCCCAACACTTTCTTGTTCTATACTTAAAGATTGCTTTTTGTAATTTCATTTTCAGCTGATACCAAACGTAGTCTCGTATGAAAATTGGACAACAGTGTTCAATGATCATTTCGAGATTACCAAAGAGACGAGAGTTGTGTTGGAGAAGAAAGCTCATGTACTAATGCCGATCGTCGGAGGGACTATTTCTCAGTTTGTAGTTCAAGAATCCGGAATGAGTGAGCTTGTGGCGGTAAGTGATCCAAGAAAAGGAGGAACCCCATCAGGATATTGAGATTGGATGTGTTTATTGCGTCGAGCTTTATAGAGCTCGATCGTATCATTAAAACTATAAATAATTGTTCTCAAATCAGTGACAGCTTTATTGGCCTCTCAAAGTTTACATATGAGAAGAGATATAAATGAGTGACATGTTTGTTTATCCTTCATAACATTCGCACATATAATGACCGGTGTAGCCTTGACAAGAGCCACCGAGAAAACCTTGACCACTACAGTAAATAGCACATTCACTTTTTATGTCCTTGCCATTTGGATCCCGGCATGGCCTCCCCGTTGGGTTTTGTGCTTCTCCAAACTCTATAGTTTATGTCAAAAAAAAAAATATTAAGGGGTTTGTCTTTCTAGAATAAACAGATGAGAAGAAATTATACTTGGAAAACTAAAAATTAATCAATCCAAAGAGTAAACTAGTTACATATCAAAGAAATCTTAGAGAAATAGATCACCTGCGTTTGAGAGAAGACATAGACAAAGAACTAAGAAGAACGAGATTTTGATAGGTGCCATTTTCTTACAAAATATAATGAGTGAATGTAAACAAGATGAAGATGAAGGAGACTTTGTTAGACAGCGAATATATACCATTAGAGGGAATACTGGATTATAAATGTTGAAATCTACATATGGTATTTTCTTTTTAAAATAGGGATCTCTTTGTACAAGAAGTAGAAGTATATCTTAAATTGACATTTTTGACCAAATTATTACCATAAATGTTGCATAGCAGAAAGAGATCTCTGCATTTAAAGAAAAATACCATATTGATTTTAAAAACGTATAATCCAGTAAATTAAAAAACGTATATTCCTAGCCTAGAATAAGCTAACTCTATACACTGAAAGCATATCTCTCGTCTTAATCAGTATCAAATGACAAATGCTGTCTCTGTAGATGAAAGCTTTACAAACCGAAACAGAGTCATCTCTTTAAAACCGAGAGTTGCTTTGTGATCTTCCATTGGAGGAGACTCCAAGCATTGGTACTGTCTGTTTCTTTCTGTAGTATATGGCAGATCCGCTCACCAGTAACAGTCCGAACATAAACGCCTGTCCATTACGTTAGCACAAAATTGAGTCTTTTGTTTTTACATCAAAAAATCAGTGAAGAAATGAAAATGTTTTTTTTTTACCTCAAAACCAAGAACTGATACTTTCTCCTCATTTGCAGATGGAACACAGCTTCTGTAAGTTTTGTAAGACTGTGACTTCTTTACTTTCACCGCCGGCGAATTATCCAGCAGATTCCTCGGTTTCTCTGAAGCAACAACTTCTTCGTCACCATCATCGACGTTATTAGATTCCCCATTTTTTGTTTCTTCTTCCTCATTTTTCTTGTGTGAAGCTTCTTCTCCTCTAACTTCTTTGCATTTGAAAGGAATTCGATAACCAGTTTCACTGCAACGATATTTCTCTTTTCTCTACATTGACAAAACACACACACAAGAACAGAGAAAGAAACCATTATCATACTGTAACAACAATTAAAATTATTGAGATTCCTACTCCAAATCCAAAGAGCAGTTCCAAATAATCCCATTCACTGACTAATTGCTAAATAAAAAGCTGATAGTGAATATAGATCACTGATTAAGATTTAAGCATATACCAAATCATAGAGATCCAATTATCAACAACATTTAAGCAAATTCGATTTGAATTTACAATTAGAGAAACCTTTTCGGAGGAAACGCAGGAAACACAAGGACCTGAAGGAGAGCATTCGAAGGTAACGTTGCTTCCTTTTGCTGTTTCTTTGTAACCTAGAAGGATTCTACGCCCCACGCTTCTCATCTCTTCTTCGTCTCCGTTTCTGTAGAGATTGATTAAACTCAGTGTTAATTTGAAAAAAAAAAAAAAGTCTGGATCGGAAAAATAAATAAAACGAGTCAGATCGATCTAAGAAGAAGGGAAATTGAAAGTACGAACTGTTCTTCATGTGCTCTGGCGAGAAACGAGGATGAAATCGAAACAGCGTAGATGAAGAAGATGGCCAAAACAAGTGAAGATTTCTGAGAAACCATTTTCCTGTTTCTCTCTTCTTCGTCGTCGTAGCAAAGCAAAACACCTCGAAGACGAAAGAAAAGAGAATATAAATATTTACAGAAATGGTCCGATACTTCATACTATTTGTAAATTCACCTTACATCTAATAAAATTATAAATTCGACCCCGATAGTTTTAGTTAGTCCTACTCCTATCAAATCGCACACAAGAAGAACACGATGACATAAGAAAATGTTTCAGTGATTAGGAAGAAGTAGAAGTGTATTTACTCTCATTATCATGAGTTTTAGGTTGCAAACGTTTGTGATTAGGAAGTAAATACTATACACATTTAAACTATAATCTCAAACATCTTTATGATCTTCTGGATCATTCTATTTCTACTTTCTAGGAGATCCTTTTATCAGTTTTATTGTTTCATATGGACACATTTTTGGAATAGTTGTTTAGCAAATCAGTTTAGTTAGAATACTCAAGAAAAGTAAGGAAACTTTCGTGGTCGATCATTTTACTTACAAAGCAGCGCGGTAAAGCGTTTTGACCGGATCTTATAGGCCGGTGGGATCCATGTTTGAAAACTCATTTGTGTGACTTGTGTGAGAAACAAATAATATCATACCATTACCAAGTTTCTAGTATGCGCTATTTTTTTTTTTTTTTTAATATCTTTATAAGTAAGGTAACATAAAGTAATTAAAATTGACTTCGCCATTATGATATAGGATTATACGATAGATTCTTGCGCACGACGTGATAGATCATTGACTGTAGTGTCATAGTTGTGTAATATAAAAGTATTTTTCGTATATTGTTTATTACAAATATTTCAACCAGCTCGATATAATACCACTAGATGGAAGAGTACTTGCCGGATCCTGCGCTCACCTTTTTCTCCTTAGAGTTATTTACATTTAAAGGCACATTGGAGTTTAAAAGTAACAAGAAAGACACCTTCCGCGTATAGGTGACTTTGTGTTGTCGAAAAGACGAAAAAGCCCTTTTTGCCTTATCTCTCGCCTTTTACCCAAAAACCACCGATTCACTTTTAATTAAATCTCAGACTCCTTTTTTATTAGAAACTGAAAGGACGTCTCACTGTAAAAACCCTAACGGAACCGCATCAACCACCGCCTGAATCCGCAGCAGTCGCAGGGATTAGGAGGCCGGCTCGAAACCACCATATTTTGCGACGAGATTCTTGTTGGAGATACAGTCATCCTATACACTTCTCACCGTCCAACCCGAGGAACAGAGTAATCGATGGAAGGTGAGACGATTCTCTTCGAAATCCTTCTGATTGTTAGGAATTGCTGTACTTTTGTGAAGCATACGCTGAGAAACGACCCGGAGGCGTTTGCGAGGATTAAGAACTCTCGTTTTGGAAAGCTGTGGGATTTTCCCGCCATTAGATGCCCTGTCTCCTGCAAACTCATCCACGCACTCGTTAGCCGACAAGTTCTGTCCAAGAAGCATTACGAGATGTGGACGGTGTTTGGTGGACAACCTATGCGTTTTTCTTTGTCGGAGTTTGCAAGCGTGACCGGTCTCCACTGCGGTGAGTTTCCCGAGGGATACGACCCAGACTGGCAACCGCCGGCAAGCAAAGATCCCGATAAGTGGTGGCGGGAGATCATCGGAAATGACTCGAGGACAACACTAGGCGACATTGCGACAAGGCTAAGGAAAGAGGAGATACAGGACGTTGAAAGGAAGTTGCGGCTTTGCCTCATACTTCTTGTTGATGGGGTTCTGGTCGTGAACAGCCAAACACACAGACCAACTCCTAAGTATGTGACAATGTTGGAGGACATAGAGGCGTTTTTGAACTTCCCATGGGGCAGGGAATCCTTCATGAAGACAATCTCCACAATGCGACCTCTAAGAAACCCAGCTGTGAAAGACGAGGACCCTGTGCGCACTCTAGTAAAAAACCTTGGCCAGACCTCGTTTAGGCTACTTGGTTTCCCTCTCGCCTTGCAGCTCCTCGCCTTCCAGTCCATTCCAGTTCTCGTCGAGTATCTCCCCACCTCAACGCCGTATGACACACTGCTTGACTTGCCGGACGAGTTATTCCCAACGAATCCATCGCTTTCTAACGAGGATGTCCTTAACGCTGAGAATCACCCTAATGTAAGAACTTCTTTCGACATGTAGATGCAGATTTTTGTTGAAATGCTCAAACTAACAGTTAATTTTATTGCAGCTGTCTGTGAATCCATTAATACCGATAGATGCGCCTGAAGGGTTTGTTGGTTGGGGGGAGTTTGCTGAGAAAGAGGTTCAAGACAGGAAAATTGCGTATTTGGAGGGGCTAATTGCAAACCAGCACCGTTTCACAAAGGCTGAATGGCCTGGTGGTGCCACTGATTACGAACCCATTGTTCACGTGCACAAACCCCCACGGATAGCTCACGTTAAACACATTTTCAATCGAAAAAAGGATAAACGTCCTCTCGGTGTCCGTTCATCTCCGCGTACAAGCCGTAAATCATCTCGGGGCAAAGAGAAGGTGGCTGAGTGTAGCCATTCTGCCTCACCTGAGGATTTGGTAGAGCAAAACAAGTGGCTGTTGGATGAGGTGAGGTTTTTGAAAGAGGAACATTGTAAGCTGGTAGCACGAACCACCAGATTGGAGAGAAAGGTGCAGTTCCAGGCCTCACGGCCATTGAGGAAACTGGCGACGCAACGCCGTGTCCATCGATCAAAAAGGAAGACGCCTAAGAGTAGCGAAAGAGATGTATCCGGATCTGAGGATTTTGCAGCTGACAGTATAATTAGCCAAGTGTGCAACGTCGATGGATGGATAGGACCCTAATTGACGAGCCATATACGAGGTCTCCTCCTTCTAACAATATGGTGTTTGGTGGAAGTGAAGAGTTGACGGAGCAGTTAGGCTTTGTGAGTGTTCTATTATCATTCCCCCGTAATGTTTTAAGTTTTAAGATAGAGGTTTCATAGTTATAAGAATATTTGTTTTATTGTGCAGTCACCACCTCTAAACCAAGCTGCGTCGAGACGTCACCGGCCATGTACTTTGGGTGAAGCGGCGGATGTGGGTTCAGCTGAAGTTGGGAAAGAGGTATGGGTCTTAGTATCCTGAGAATGACAATAGAATTGGTTGCTTGTGAAAATTAGTAACTCCAGAATCCTCTCCAATAAAGCAGGGCTCCTTAGAGAAGCAGAAAGAGTGTCCAGAAGCTGGTGTACACATGGACGGGACGGAGCAGCTGAACGCCGAACCACAGTTGGATAGTGCAGATTTGGTGGACAGACAATTGTGTACCGGTGATGTGGAAAGAGAGAAGGTTAACGATGGACTGCCCACAGTGGACGACCAAACAAGCCTGTCTGTTCGCACGTCTCCAACTGTAGAGAATACGGGTGGATCAGCAGCAGCAAGGCCGGAGGAGCCTGCTGAACATGCTTTGGTTGGAGATAAAGTGTTGGGGAGGAATGAAGAAGTAAGTTTTGATCCTTTGGTTGGAGAGCAAGGGATTGAGAGGAATGAAATTGCCACGTTAGTGACTTTGAGTGTTTCAATTTTTTTCAGGTGGAAGAAACAGGTTTTGGTGATTGTCAACTACATGCCATTATCGACAACATCATCAGTGACGGCAGGACACCTCAGCTGCGTGGCCAAACTCTGGATTCGATGACCACGACTGTGGCTCTTCCAGTGAAAGTGCAAACCTCTCAGGTTGGCAGCACTCGTAATATGACTAACTCTTTTGGAGTACCGTCTATGTATAACGTATGGCCTATGCAGTCTGCCTCGTTGATGGTTTCTTCACGAAATGATGGAGATGGGTGTCGGGAGAAAGTTTCTCATGCCTCTCTTTTCCGTGAACCACCGAAGGTAGGGACATGACGTTACTTATTAGTCTATGCAGACAATGTTATATTTGTGTGAGTCTTAACCAGTTGGCCAATTGGGACCAGGTTTTTGGGCGTGATTTAAGCAAGGATGTCGTTAGTAGTAGAGATGATTGTGTGGATGTTATGGACGTTGAGGCTGGCACCGGCACGGAAGTGATGGCGGAAGGAGATTCCTCATGCGATAGATGTGGTCAGCCTCACGTGGATGACGATATGGTGGATGCTGATATGCCAGAAGAGGCTGTCCACGTGCCATCTGTGGCGATGGATGTATCTGGTACAGTCGCAGTGTCCACGGGGCCGGCAGCCGTAGAGGTCCGATATGGTCCACATTCTTATGGAATGATTGAACAGTTTTTCCCATTTTGGTGACATATTGTTTCCTATCTTGTTTAATTAGGAAACTGCGAAGGCTCAAGCCGGGGAGGAAGATGTAGATTATATATCTGTTGGTGACTCCTCGCCCCCACCCCAACGAGCAGCGCACCGTCCTTCTGAAATGGAGACTGAGCTTGCCAATGCTATCCGTGAGGCGCCGGTAGTTGAACAAGGCTGTCTGTTCCCGGAAACAGATCCTCAAGTCTTCGACCTCTTCAAAAAAACACTTTCAGCTGACAGAGACTTGTAAGTGTCCAAACCAGGAATATTTATGTTTAGTTGGTTCAATAAATAATGTGTGAGTCCTCTTCGTTTGCAGGTTACACATTTTGCAGGATAAGTATGATCTGGATAACACTTTTTTCTTTGATCTCTCTGAGAGCCAGAAGTGGATATCGACGAAGGTAGTAGGAGCCTGAATGTTTCTTTTTGAGATTTTAACATATAGTACAACACTTATATATGTTCCTTCCCTGTACCGCTGCAGCATATGGAGGTTTTGATGTCTTACCTAGGAGCGAAGCACTCCGAGGTTTTGGCGAAAGAGCAGTCCTCGTTTGCTTCGCCTTGGCTTATTAGCCACCTTCAAGGAAAGTATAGAAAGTTCAAGGCCGCGATCAACAAGGAGAAGGTCAGATGGGATGAAGATCTTAAAAAATTTGTGATGGTCCCAGGGCAAACGTGGCTTGAAGAGGTGCACACAATATACGCTCCAATGATATGGGAGGATAGGCATTGGGTTGGATTGGCAATTCATCTGGGTACGAGATTTGTGGAGGTGTTAGACCCATTCCCTTCACTGTATGCCGATCGGAAGGTGAAGAACTTCATGGGACCAGTTGTGGACATGCTTCCCCACATCCTCAGCAATATGTGCCCATCGGCTACCCAACGAAAGAAGCCTTTCACCTATGCACGGGTACCCGATATCTACGAGAATACGCGTGCGGGTGACTGTGGACCGGTGGCAGTTAAATTCCTGGAAATGCATGCGTACAACGATCCCGCGCCTCAGCTAGCCGGGATTACTGATGTAATGGTGGATGAATTCCGCAAGAGCTATGCGGTGGAGCTGTACAGGGAATTGGTAGTACCTCTATACTTCCCACCCTCGTCTCAGTAAGCCCCTATATGTAAATATCAGGAGGAGCACCGTAGGGAGTTTGTTTTTGGAGGTGCCGTCTTTGAACCATTCGGTGTTTTATTAAGATGCTAAGTATTATGTGTTTTGGTTGATGACTAAGGATGTTTATGTAATATATATTTTAACGTTTAAGTGTGTGTGGAGATCCATGGATGGTGCTGTTCGGTTAGACTAAGTATGTTAATGTAAAATAAGTTTAACTATGTGTGATATTTGATGCGAATTCGGTTTGGGAATGCATGTGTGTGGAAACATGAGTGGATAAACATGAGTGGACAAGTGCGGAATGGACAACCTGAGAAAGTTTTTGTGGAGGTACGAATGGAGCCTAATCGATGTGTAAAGTAATGCATGGAGGAGCCGCTGTAATTCCCTTATGGGCTCTCAGATACTTGTGGACAGTGTGCGTAGGACGTGAGGAAGATGTGTAAAGGTATATATGGAACGCAGTCGATGTGGACAGTCATGGGTGGACGACCGCTGTGTCTACGTCAATAGATCGTCCAATGGTAACTTCTATACGGCGTCAAATGCACCGTGGACAAACGGAGATGAACGTCGATGTCATATGGAATGGGTAAGCATTAAGCCGTGGTGGACGCCCAGAACGATGTACGACCATGGTATATCCATCCTCAAAGTATATCCATCCATGGTACCCATCCATAAGAGGACGGGAATGTGTACGTCTCAGTAAAGTAGATCCGTCCATGTGGATGGGGAGTGGATATGGAAGGGAGTATTTTAGGGCATTATGTCTGTTCCCAAATTAATGAAGCGCGTCGTTTTATTCTGTATAAGAGGTCGAAAGGCCTTCAATTGAGGGAACAAGGGAAAACAGAGGCGGCGAACCTTAGGGTTGAGACAAAACTCAAGTTGGGGGTTTTTGGAGTGAAATATATTAGCGACGTCTTAATCTCTTCCTGCAAACCGGTAAGGCACTCGTTTGATTTGAATGAGCCAAATGTACTTTGGCGATTATCGTCAATTGTATTGTATCGTCAATTGGGATATACAAATTAGGGATATATCGTGAACTGTTTTTCAGAAGAAAGTGGAAGGAGATGGCAACCCATGGCAATAGTATTTCTTCGAATTGGTATCAGTGCATCCTTAGAACCTACCCTGGAAAGGGAGGTGTTGGGATTCCGAAGAGATGTCGATGTGGTAATGACGTGGCTCTTCACACGACTCATGATGGTAGGAAATTCTTCGAGTGCACTGGGAACACAATAGTCAGTGTAAATTGTTTTAGATTTGAGTGAGATATAGTTAAAGGAAAAAACCCCCAACTTGGTATAATAAAAATGTTTGTGCAGGATGGGCAAGCGCACGTTAAGACTTGGTGGGAGGAAGCAATTACGGAACAGTTTGATGAGCTCTATGATGAACTGGACGACATCAACACACAACTCACTTACATCGCGATGGACTGCGGTCGTTTCAAGAAACTTGTTGAAGAGGTAGAGGGGCTTAAGGAAAATGTGACAAAGCGCGAGGAAAAATCGGGGAGGGAGCGGAAGTTTGCAGTGGTGTGCAGTGTTTTGGTGGTTATTATGGGTTTGGTTATTGTTCTTGTCAAGTAAGCTGGTAACTTTGTTCGTTATCCTATGCATCTCTAAAGTTGGTAACTGTGTTCGTTTGCCTATGCATCTTTAATTCTAGTTATGTTTTGTAATAACAGATTCCCCCGATTCTTCATCGGTTATGTAAGTGTTGTAGTTCTAACTTATGTAGATACAGTCTGTTTCTATAGTGCAACTATTTGGTGGATAATAAATTACGCTTGAAACTGATGGCATGTGGTAGCGTGTACGATGTGGCCTGAACGCACATGTTTCCGATTCGAACAAGCATAATATTTGATTCGAATTTAGACTAAGAATGTTTATTTAATATCTGTTATGGTAACCGTAATATTTGATTCGAATTCGTTTTGGCAAGGCATGTGTGTGGAAAACTGATTGGATGAACATGCGTGGATAACAATCCCTAATGGATGACGAGATAAAGGTGTGTATATGAAACCCTATATGGTGGACAACAAACAATGTACGATCCCATGTGTGGACTGGGATATGTGGCCGTCAAAACCAGATTACCTTGTATGCCCTTTCCTAGGTCGTATATAAATATAAGCATTTCTATTCGTCGTGGACATAATTTCCAGACAGGAATTGTGTGTACAGAAAGATGTTTCATTATTTTGTACGGGTGAATCTGTACGTAGATAAGATTTCGCGTTTGATGACTGAGGATGCACATCGAGAACACAGCCATGGTCAAATTCAAAATCTCGGTCCTCGCCCCAACGTGTGTATCATGAAGATATTAAACACATCCTGGCCACTAGTTTTCCTTATATTTGAGGGGAGGGGTGTGGGCCAATAATTTGGAGAAAAGACTTGTTCTGTGCGCAAGTTTTGTGACCTGAACGACGAAGAGGCGGAATCGTCGCATCCTTGACCACTCTCCGTGTCTTGTACACGCGGGGAGAAGCTTTCTTTTCTCTTTAAATCCGGGATAAGATATAGGTTAAAGGATTCTTGTATTTGTTTGATGGCAAAACGAGACTTGTGCATAGGTCGCAATTCCGGGTGTTTCAATTGTGATTCCGATCTTAATTGGGGCTGACAAAGAACTTGCAGGACGAATATGACATTCAGTTGCAACAGCGAGACCTCCATCTCTTACTCTGGCAGCTACAGAAGCTATCTTGGTCATGGACGAGTCGCGATTCCGAGAAAGTGTAGATGTGGTTTGAATGTTGATCTTCGCACATGTGATGATGGGAGAAGGTTCTACGTATGCAAGGGGGATACCATGGTAAGTGTAAAATAGTGGTGGAACTTCGTATAAGAAATATCCCATGTCTCACTGAAATTGTCTCTGGTCACTCAAGGATGGAGAGCCGCACCTGAGAATGTGGTTGGAAGAAGCAATTCTAGAGGAGTTGGGTGAATTGAAGGACGGTTTGGCCGGCGTATCTACGCAGGTGCAGTATCTCAGCGTGAGTTGTGGACGGTTGGAGGGGATTGTTAGCGATATCGAGGTGCTAAAGGGGATAATAAAAAAACGTGATGACAGAGCAGGGTACGAGTTCAAGATGGCTGTTGCGTTTGGTATAATCGCAAGCATTGTTGCTCTTACCGCGCTATTCAACTAGATGGGTGTGGATGGGTTGGGGACGTCAATTTTCCTTTCAATGGTGTACCCCTTGTAAACGGCTTTGTAGGTTAAGAAGCGATGAAACTTAGCATATTTTATCGGCGCCGCCGTAGCTGGTGTGGCAATGTAATTTGCTTATTTTGTTTGGGAATCTCGGTACTATAAACTCTGCTAATGTAACTCACCTAATTTGCTTATTTTTGTTGGACCAACACACGTCGTCCATCATGTGTAAGCACAAATCACTTAATATGTGGTTGGATTTTATCAATGGTAGAACATCTTCACCGATGTCGCTGTATATGTCGTCCATCGTAGTCCAAACACTCAAAATTGATTATGTATTCAGTGGCAATCAAAGAACTATACTCTCTGCTAATGTAGGCCTGTCCCTGAAAATCTGCTAATGAAATGGTCCAGAGTCGCGGGAACATGTGGTTTGGTGGCATAAACAACATGTCATTGGGTTGCAGAAAGACACTCTGTCCATGGTTGTCTGAACATGTGGTTGGGTGTCTGGATGGTAGAAATTCTTCACCTATGTTGATACAGATGTCGTCCATATAACTCCGACCACGTGCAATTAGTTATGTGTGCAGGTCAATATATGGTTGGGTTGCATAAACACACCTCCAAATGTGGTTGGGTTTCAGAAACACACATCGTCCACCGTTTTCTGAACATGTGGTTGGGTTGCATCAATGGTGTAAATTCTTCACCTATGTTGATACAGATGGCGTCCATCTTAGACCGAACATGTAAAAGTAATTATGTGTTCAGGTCAATATGTGGTTGGGTTGCATAAACACACCTCTGAATGCGGTTGGGTTGCAGAAACACACCTCGTCCATCGTTGTCTGAACATGAGGTTGGGTTGCCTGAATGGTGGGAATTTTTGACCTATGTCTATATAGATATCGTCTATCCTAGCCCGAACACGTACTTGTGGTTATGTGTTCAGATGTAATATATTAGTAGCCCTAATACCATCGGAACCAAAAAGACATTGGTAGCGGCTCTCCCAGATGTCAACGCATAGGAAGTCCGTCGTTTACTGACCAACCTCCCCAGAACATGTGGTTGGGTTGCCTAATTTATATCGCCTCTCCCCGATTTTACTACAGCTGGCGTCCACCAGTGTCCGTCCACACAGACGTTTATTATGTGATCTGATCGTTGTAGTTGATGTAATATATTTGCTTTGTTCGAGAAACTCTTGTAATGGGCGTTTGACGGTGAGATAAGTAATAAAAAAATGCCTTTAAGTATAGGACAGAGTCTTGGTATTGATCTGTGGGCTTGAATGTGATATGTAGTGGTATCCATCAGTTAGAGTTATATGATGGAGAAAAGCCGAAGATAAACATGATATTTCAAAACGTGGTTACAAAAAAAGGTTACATCCCGTAGATCAATTCCCGATAGTTATGAAAAGCAGGGGTTACAAATCACCGTGAGAAAGATAAAACTCGTGAGATTAAAAAACGTGGAACAAAAAGCCGAAGATAGATAAGAAGCAGAGTTTGATTCTAACCGGATAGAGCTGCAACTATATATAAATGAAAAAAGCAGTACTACAATAGTGATAGATGGGGGTTTTGCAGCTGGTCCTGTTGTGGCCCACACCCTGGCAACGGGAACACTTGTTTGGAACTTCCTTCTTTGGTTTGGGCAACTTCAATCGGAAAACAGTGAGTCAAGATGGAGCAGGTTCGAAAATATAAAAGTAATGGGGATAGTGATGTAATTTGACTTACTGGGACTTCTCCGGTGGATGGAATCCTTGTTTCTTTTGGCCTCCCTGAGGGCCTGTGGGTATTAGGAGGCATGACACTGACTTTGAACAAGTCTGCGGGAAAATCGTAATCTACTCCTTCTTCAGGCGGAAAAACTATACCCTCGTAAGTGTCTACCCACGCAGTAGGTTTGAAAGTGTCCCCTTGCATCGACGAATAGGGCAGGCCCAAAGAATCCGCAGCCATGAGGGCGTGTCCACATGGTATCTTCAACTTGTCGAAAACCCTACAAGTGCATTTCCTGTCTCTTAAAAGAACTTGGTGTTTTTCGCCAAAACGACCAACAATCTGTACGGCCCAGCTCGATACCATGTTTATCTTACTTCCCTTACAAGCCTCCATATTTGCTGTCAAGACCTTATCCACCTCAGGCGTACACATACCCGTGTGTTTCAGAGATTTCTTTCTCCTAGCGTTGAACCACCTAGTCATCATATCTTGGATGAATTTGAGGAGCTCGAGTATCGGTGAATTTCTACCACCCCTTAGTGCCTTGTTCAGCTGCTCAGCGGCGTTGCTGGTCATCAAGTTATATCGGTCACCAGGGAAGTGAGCCCTAGACCAATGCGCAATCCCAATTTTATGCAAATACCTAGCGCAATCTGGACTTGCAGCCCTAATATCATTGTATATCTTCCGGAAACCTCCGATGCGGTATTGGAAAGCTGCGCTTATGACCATCTTGGCTAGGCCCTTACTCTTGTAGCATGCAGTAACGTTCCTGGCTAAATGGACTATGCAAGCGGCGTGGTGGGCTTTTGGATATATCTTCGCCTTAGCAACCTTAATCGAAGGGCACCTATCTGAGATGATTGTTCGGGAGGAGCTATCTGCCAGAATCTTCTCCAATTTTTCGAGAAACCATGTCCACGAGTCGTTGTTCTCACTGTCGAAAACGGCGTAAGCAAGCGGGAAGACTTGGAAATTTGCGTCCTGGCCGCTAGCTGTGAGGAGAGTGCCCATGAATTTACCCCCGAGATGAGTTCCGTCGATGACAATAACGTGTCTGAGACGCCTAAAACCCCTAAACGATGCACCAAATGAGAGAAAGAGGTAGAGAAACCGATCTACGCCAAACTTATCTTTCTCTGTTACCAGATCGGTTACGGTCCCAGGGTTGGCAAGTTTGAGCATGTAAAGATACTCAGGCAGTCCAAGATAGGAATCGTCGTCCGTCCCTCTAACAAAAGTGATTGCCTCCTCTCTTGCCCTGTAACACTTCATATAGGAGGCCGCAACACGAAGCTCCTCGAGAACAAGTTGTTGTAAATCAGCTGCTCGGCTGTGTTGGTCTGAGCAGAAGATCGGCTGTGTCCACCGTTTCCGGTTAAACCAGCGTTGCCCCCGTCCATTGTGAATTGACTGTCTGACGTTTCGTTGGACGCGGAGAACATGAATGGCTGGCCAAAAGAAGACGGGGTGTCACTGTTGGTACCATCGTGATGAGTCCCGCATGGCCCAGAGGACGTGGAAGCCCCACGAATTATCTCGGTTTTCCAGACGCCGCCGTCTCCGCCAGCTACCACAGTATGGTCGAATGCATCGTTGGTTGAGCATCTGTAAACCATCAGTGGGACATCCATCGGTGGACCGTCCTGATCGCACATGAAATCGGGAGCGTCGGATCCTCCGTATACCTCGTCAACAAGCGGTTCCCAAAATTCCTCGTCAATGCCTAGAGGGCGAACATCGAAGCTGTCCCAATCCTGGTGTCCATTATCTTCGTCGTCTGTGTTCAGGTCGTCAGAGTTGTAGTCGTTCCCACTGAGTTCTTGAATCAGTTCGTCCACGGCGTCCTGAACAGGATTTCCAGACCTGGTGTGGGGGGTAGCAGAATTGTAGCCGTGTTCCTTGCCGTGGCCCATTATCTCGTCCAGTGACTCCTGAACACGTGTCTCAGGACGGGTGTACGGGGGGTCAAATGTAAAATCTTGTCTAGCAGGTCCGGATGCCGTCTTGTCCACGTCGTTGAGAACACTACCCCCTGAACTGGGGTTTGGGTTGTCGAACCTGTTGTCCCTCGTCCCGATGCCGCTGCTGATATCGTCCATGCTGTCCTGAACACTCTTCTCTGAATATGTGTTCAGTTCGTAGAGATCTTTCTTCGTATGGCTTCCGCTGCCCAGAACATTTTCTACTCTCTCCATATGTCTGACGAGAACATCATCGTCGAAATCGGCAGGAGGTTTCCGCGAACCGACAGAGGACCCATTGTCAGCTGAATTACCAATGCCCAACCCGAACCTACCATCACCGCCGATGTCATCACTAAAACGGCTTCTTTTCATTGACGGTTTAGGGGTTGTGTAACCATCGGGAGGAAGACCAACGTCGGAGAATGGGGTGGACATGGGTCGCTTGACAAAGGTAGCGAACAAGTTCATCGAACGCTTGACATTGTGGTGCTGGCAGAAATATGATATGGAAGGGGCGCTTGTTACCATTACCGGAGGGGTAGTAATCCCAGTTGCAAGCTCGTTCGTGTTAGGTGGCCAGTACCTTAAATCGACATACATCGCACAGACGCCGTCGGGAAAGAATTCTCGAAAAACGTTGTTCTTCAGCTCCTCGATACTCATCCCGTCTTGAAACGTAACTACACGGGACATGCGTTGCTTGTCGATAAGGAAATCTCATTTGCCATCTGGAGAACACCTCCATTCACCGCTGATAACCATACAATGTTGACCCATTAGGAACTGTGAATCTTGTTCTACAATAGGCTAAGAACAAGAAAGCTACGAGAGTGTGTATGTAGAAGAAAAACGGGGGGCTAATTAATGTTATCCTCTAATGAGCCTATGACAGTGTGAGTAGCCTTTCCCCACCAATAAAAATGACGTGTCACTCTTATGGCCGCAGGATGAAGGCGCAATTAATAATAGGAACCATCGAAGGGTCAATTTTGAACTACACTTTCTCCCGTAAAGTGGTTGAGACTCTTAAACCAAAGGTTAAATGGAAAACATGGCCCATCCGTTCCACTTATGTCTCCTTTACGACGTCCATGTATACAATGCGGTGTGTACGTGTTGCGGGACTGAGGACACGGTCTTCATTTGGAATGTGGCGTCGCCAAATAGTGGTTGGTAGACATGTCGTCCACGAGTCAGTGTCCATAGAATGCGTCCAATTTGGATTACAATTTGTTCGTAAAGTGGATCAGACTCTTAAACGAAAGGTTAAATGGAAAACATGGGCCATCAATTCTTGTCTCGTCCACGCTATAATGTCCATAAATATATTGCTATGTGTACGAACGGGGGGCTGAGTCAGATTCGCCAAGTCGTGCTGAGGACACAGTCTTCCTTTGGGATGTGGGCGTCAGCCAATAGTGGTTGGTGGACATGTCGTCCACGAGGTAGTGTTCATAGAATGCGTCCAATTTGGATTACACTTTTCTCGTAAAGTTGTTCAGGCTCTTAACGAAGGGTTAAATGGAAAATATGGGCCATCAAGTTCTGTCTCGTCCATGCGACAACGTCCATAAATAAAATTATATGTGTACGAAAGGCGGGACTGAGTAACATGGCTGGCTGGCTTTCCTTCCAATTCCGGTACGTCTATTCCCCTCCGACGACACAGATCGGCTGTTTAAACCCACTGTACTCGTATGATGAATTGCAATAGTGTGTTTCCGGCAGTCGATTCTGTTAATTGATGACTTTAGGAGATTGGAGGTGCGCAGCGATTATTCAGATTGAAAATTTCTCAGAGTGTTCGAAATCTTGAAACTACACGGTGGCGTGTTTTCCTCCGATGTTGTAAATTAACTTTTCATCGGCGCGGTTAAAAGTACAAATATTCGAAACCGTGAATAACAGCTAAAACTAATTAAAAGATCGAAGGGACAAAAGTGGAATTTGCTACACTTACTTTTCACTACTTTTAGTCGCAAAACAAAGGAAAGTCACTTAAGAATCGAAAGTGCCTTCAGGTATAATATCAATCTCCAAAAGTGTCTATGAATGTAATTATCTCTTCTCCTTATCATTTGGTATTTTTTCTTTTGTAACATCTTATACACTAATATGAAAAATACATACTCCTGTTGCATAAAAATCCATGGTTTAATATTTTTATACATTTTAAGAAATGGTTATTAGCCTTGATCAAGAAAACTGTAAACTCCGTCAACATAAAACATGTAAACTATATAATAAGAACTATTCCTATGTTTTACCAAAAAAAACTATTCCTATGTAAAGTCTTGGAATTACGAATGTCTTAAACTTTCTTTGAAGAGTTGACACACACAAAAAAACACTCCAATTAGCAGAATCGAATAAACTATGACCTCTTTATTTAATTAAGGCATGTACCGATGTCCGCCATAGTTATGGTTATAAAAACTATCCTTGATGTTTACAGAAAAGAAAAATAGTAATACTTGCCTGATAAAAAAATGGTGGTCGTTGTGTGTATTATCATCCAACGAGAGCAGCCTTTGATGTTAATATATAGTATACTTCAATCCTTATTTTATGTTTCCAATATTGAAAGTTCTTTCATAAATTACATTTCATGTAATACTTTTTTAGTTAATTCATAAAATTAGCCAAACTGGTCAACGAGATTAAACAACATAAGATCAATGATCTGTCGTATTCTCATTGGATAATAAACACCGCACACTCCCGAACCGTGCTGTCAACACGCAACACACGTAAAATGGCAGACAGATTCTTGTGCAATGCACTCATTTGGTGTTCATATAAAAACCTGATTACGCATTATCAGTTTTGAGATACATATTGAAATAGATTAAGATATTCATTCGAACTATGCTACAATTATTTGGATCCAATTCTGTGGCTTCTGTGATATCAAAATTCTGAATATCAGCCCTAAACATCATATATCGGCAATAAGTTACAAAAAAAAGTTACTAAATAGTCTGAAAATAACGTAGAAGTAGCATGATCTGATACATGTCAAAAATAAAAGCTTGTTTTATTTAATAAATTAAGCATAAGTTTTTTTTTTGAAATAGTCCAAAGTATTATCATACATGCATGATTCATTTGGATTGCAGTACAAATTGATTTGATTTTTGTTATACAAGCACGATTATAATATAGATGATAGACATTATCTTATTATATAATGCTGAGTCGTTCAAGAATAGAGACGGAGTTGAGAATTATTCCAAACAGAGCTGGTAACATGGTGATGATGAACAATGAAAAGAAAAACAATATTTTTAGTTTGTATCTCCTCTTATTAAAATGCAAAGTCAATGTCTGTGGGCTTTGGCTCTGTATAAGAAGCTACAATATACTTTAGAAACAAAGAGAATATTTTTTTTTTCTTGCAATAGAAGACGTACAAAAGGAGCAGATCCAACTGTTCCCCAAGATCGCATCTGGATCACAATACAGCATGATCAAAGAGGAGACCAATTCGTGTGTTCATCCTTTTGGTGGTGTTATGGCAGAACCTGATCACAAGGTAAAACGAACAAACCATTTCTTGTTGAAACCGCCTATTTCTCTAATTAAGTTTGTCATAGGTGTTTTTTATCTCCTCCTTCTGGTGTTTCTATCGATGTGAGTTTAGGATTTTTAGATACTCATGTTCATGTAGTATCGGTATCTGTTTTACATATTTACACACTTATGTCTGAAATTAATACATATTGACCGCATCATATAAAAGTTTGCATCCTTGTATTGGAAATGATCTTGTATCACAAATTCATTATTTTGTATCATGATTTTAGGCTAGAGAGACGATGGAAGCTACAATTGTTTGTTTTTTTAATTATATGGTCGGCTTTGGAACCATCGACTTGTTTTGTATAAATATAAACCAAAAACAAATAATTCATGTTTTGTTTATTAATTAACTAAATTAGTAAGTCAAAAAACTAAATTAGTAAGTCAGAAACTCAAAATCACCGCAGCTAGCCACTTCGCCAAGGCGGCGGTCAGCGTTTTAGAACATTGAGTCCGATGCAAATATATAATTGTTTTGGTATTCCATCTCTGTTTATACCTATATTTCTATTAAGTTTTGTTTGTGGTTACTGGTTGTTGAGAAATGAGAACTATTGGTGTAACGTATTACGTATACTGTATACAAAATAGCTGGATCACACAAAAAAAAAAAAGTTAGACATATGTACACACATGTATAAGGAAGGTGAATATAAATGACTAATTGTAACGTGTCTGTACATTTACAGGAAGTGGAGCTTGATGCAGCAAAAGCAAAGGTTGAGAAAGTTAGAGAAGAAAACGAGAAGTTAAAGCTCTTACTCTCTACGATTCTTACTGATTACAACTCTCTTCAAATGTATGTCTCCAACTTTGTCCGACAACAACATGAAGCTTCTAAGGAGCTAGACAGTAATGAATATGATCACGACGATTCTGGAGTAGATATATCTCTTAGGCTTGGAAGATCAGAGATTAAGATCTCCAAGAAAGAGGAAGAAGTAGAGAAGATTAGTCTTGACAATGAGAACAAGGTAGGGTCAGAGAAGAAAAGATATGCACTCGGTTTAGGATTTCGGATTCAAAGTTTTGAAGATGCGAATAGTACTGATCACTCCATGAAGTTAGGTTATACTTCTAGAGATGTTAAGAATGGAAACGCAGAAGATAAATGTGTACTTTCGAAAAAAGATCTCAAAACTGCTAGAAATGAAGATCAACAAGATGTTTTGGAAGAACATAATGAGCAACCAAGTTTGAAGAAAACTAGGGTTTGTGTGAAAGCACCATGTGAAGACCCATCGGTACGTACACCAAACCATATAATGCTACGTTACGTATATATCTTTATTTTAGATGTAAGCTTTTAAGTTTTAACATATAGTTTATTTTTTGCATGGATTTATAGATAAACGACGGATGCCAATGGAGGAAATACGGTCAAAAGACTGCAAAAGCGAATCCTCTTCCACGAGCCTATTACCGTTGCTCCATGTCATCAAATTGTCCCGTCAGAAAACAGGTACATAACATTCTACAATATTCACAATCCAAAATATATGTTACACTTTACAGAACATAGAACCGGTTAAGGTAATGCCACTAGACAAATACACATTTGTTTTCATCTAACAAAATTTGATGTAACTTATATTATATGATAATTATTCATTAATTGCTTCCAACTATAGTAATTAATTTCTTCCAACTATAAGAAACTGTGATTTATGTAAGATTTTTTTTATTTTTTTTATGTAGGTGCAAAGATGTGGAGAAGATGATACATCCGCTTATATGACGACATACGAAGGAACTCACGATCATCCTCTTCCCATGGAAGCAACACACATGGCCGCCGGAACTTCCGCTGCCGCCTCATTATTACAATCTGGCTCCTCTTCCTCCGCAAGTCTAAGCTATTACTTCCCTTTTCACCACTTCTCTGTCTCCACCACTAATGCCCACCCCACCGTAACACTCGACCTCACACGACCAAACTATCCCAATCACTTACCAAACTACCCTCTTTCTTCCTCATCTCTCAGCTTCTCTTCCTCTGATCGCCCATCTATGTCCAACAGTCGTACCTTGAGCTTCAACAGCTTGATATCTCAAGCTCCCTTGAATACATATTCACATCAAACAAAACTCTCTGGACAACCGTAACCATATATAATGGTAGTGTACATGTTCTTTTGTTCTTTTGTCAGCTATGTTTTGAAATTCTTTATAAAATCTCAAAGAAATGTGTGGATTAATCCATTTTCATACTTATGTTAGGTTTATGTGATATTCTAACAACTTCTCTAATAGAAATTTGGTTTTGATGTTTGAATGATATGCGAAGCATACAGTTTGTACATATTGAAGTATTTTAACTGGTTTTGAAGCTAATAGCTTGTTATGTTATACAAAAACAATTTGTTACAACTTTTCTCGTGAAGTTCTTAAGATTCACTACTATACTATCAGTTCCATTTAGGCCAGGCCCAAATGAAAATCTGTGATCGGCCCATCCGAGTCAAAAGGGCTCCGATTGTAGCGCCGTTCACACTCATTGACACACGACCACTTGATAGAGTAACACGTGTCAATACACTGAAGTGAAGTAACCGCCAGAAAAGCGAAACCAAAGGCTCCAAAACTCCGACACGTCGCATTTCCGACCACGAAACAAACCACCACCACTATCCTTATTTTTCTGAACGGAATTTGAGTTTTTCTTCGTTTTCGAATCTGGAATCAACGTAGATTGCTGTCGATTTGTTTTCAATCGAATCGATTTGCGTTTTCTCAGACGGCATCAATCAAGATATGTCGGGAAGTGATGAGAGTGAAGATAAAGAGATAAGATCGACGGTTTCGAGCTGCGAGTCTTATTTCGAAAAAGTCCAATCGAGAAAGAATCTTCCCAAATCTCTTCAAGAAACCCTAAACTCTGCCTTCGCCGGAATCCCCGTCTCCTCCTTCCCTCAAGTCCCCGGCGGCAGAGGTAAAAAAAAACAAAAAAAAACGATCCCATTTCTTCGATTTCTCTCGAATTATAAAATTTGAAAAAAAATTAGAAATTTCCTCTAACTTTCGAAACCTAATTTTTGAAATTTGGGAATCGATTCAGTGATTGAGATTCCGGCGGAAACACCTGTGTCAGAGGCAGTAAAGATTCTATCAGACAGCAAGATTCTCTCAGCTCCTGTAATAAACACAGACCACGAGACTTCTCCAGATTGGAGAGACAGATATTTAGGAATCATCGATTACTCTTCAATCATCCTCTGGGTGCTAGAGAGCGCAGAGCTCGCAGCAATCGCGTTATCCGCCACGTCAGCAACAGCTGCTGGTGTCTCTGCAGGAGCCGTTGGAGCTCTCGGCGTCGCAGCGCTAGGCGTAACCGGTCCTGTAGCTGTAGCCGGGATCGCCGCGGCTGCGGTTGGCGCCGCCGTCGCCGGCGGCGTTGCCGCTGATCGTGGGATCGGGAAAGATGCTCCGACCGCTGCTGATAGTTTGGGGAAAGACTTCTATCAAGTCATTCTTCAAGAAGAGCCTTTCAAATCAACCACTGTAAGAAGATTTTCGATAACCGGAAAAATGTCGAATTGATTTTCGATAACCGGATTGGTTTATGAATTTTATGGTATGGTTTTTGATTTTTGATTTTGGATTTGCTTTACTCAGGTGAGAACGATACTGAAGTCGTTTAGATACGCTCCGTTTCTTCCGGTATCAACAGAGAGTTCGATGTTGAGTGTATTGTTGCTGCTATCGAAATACCGGTTGAGAAATGTACCGGTGATTAAACCGGGAGAACCGGATATCAAGAACTACATTACTCAGTCTGCGGTTGTTCATGGACTTGAAGGCTGCGAAGGAAGAGATTGGTTCGATCACATCTCCGCTCTACCGATTTCCGATCTCGGCGTTCCTTTCATGTCGCCGGACGAGGTAAGAAATTCGAAACTCTGTTAACCGACATTTGAATGCAAAACCGGTTTAATCGGGTTTTCTTGTGGTTTAGGTGATTAGCATTGATAGCGAAGAGCTAATTCTTGAAGCGTTTAAGAGGATGAGAGACAACAACATTGGTGGGCTTCCTGTAGTGGAAGGGCCAAAGAAGAAGATTGTTGGGAACATAAGCATGAGAGACATAAGATATTTGCTTCTACAGCCTGAAGTCTTCTCAAATTTCAGGCAACTTACGGTGAGGAGTTTCGCGACGAAGATTGCTACCGGAGGAGAGGAGTACGGGTTAGCGATTCCGGCGATAACGTGTAAGCCTGATTCAACGTTAGGGAGTGTTATCAACAGTTTGGCTTCGAGATCGGTGCATAGGGTTTATGTAGGAGCTGGAGATGAGAACGAGCTTTATGGGGTTATTACATTGAGGGATGTGATCTCTTGCTTCGTGTCTGAACCTCCAAACTACTTTGAGAACTGTCTTGGCTTCTCGGTTAAAGAAATGCTTAACCGATGATGAATGATGATGGTCTCTTCTTGTTTCTCAGTTTTTTTTAATGTCCTCTGTTTTTTTCTTCCTTAGTTTCTTGGTTTGTTGTTGTCTTTGTTTCCAGTTTGTAGCCATTTTGAGTTTTAAAGTTTCGTCTTTTATAAAGTTGGCAATCTTTAATAATCTTTAAAGGCTGTGTTGTTCATCAAGAGCATCACCATCGTCCATGCCTCTTATCTCGCCGCCATATCTCTCTTTAACTCCTGCTTGTTTGTGAGAAATTTGTGATGTATGTTTTGTTTCAAGATCTAAGTTACGTTCTTCTTTAGTGTTATGATACAAAGACAAAACTAGGTCAATTAGCAGCAATATTAATATATAGATCTGAAAAAAATGTTTCTAAAAATACATAATGTATATGGCAAATGACTCAAAACTCCAATTAAACAGTGTTTAACTCATTAATACTAGTAACATAGATCAGTTACATTACATTTGTTTACATGAAAATGTTCATCACTCACCCGATTCGTTGGAAAGCCGCTCGATGATTCGTGTAACGTTTTGGTGCCAATATGCCACCTAGAGTCCCCCCAAACACTTCAGTGTTCATTAGAAGTAGATATATTATACACTGAACAATGAACAATGAAGCGTTTAAGGGAACTCAAGGGGACATTTGACTCTGCATATATATATTCTCTCTTTTGGTAATGCTTTCTAGTTACTCGATGACATTAGTCACAACCCAAAGTGCATATATATATATACTTCTCCATGTTATGTATTTTCCTCTTTTTTGGCAGTAGAATTTCTTAGGGAGGGACCATAGACTAAATATTCTCCATTATATGTAAAAACCATGCGGGATATGTTTGAAGATGAACCAAGTCGGAATTTGGGAATAAGGAGCTTAGAGCATCTATATATCTCAATCAGTTTGCCACAGAAGCACATTCTTCACAAGATCTCTCGTGCCTTAGATCTTATTCTACCTTTTTTTTCCTTTCATGTAACTGTAATGTTGATGCGTGGGTTTTCTAAATATGATTTAACATTTTTTCTAATAATAGATATGCATGCTTTTACTAATTTAACCAAAATATGAAAACGTTTTAATACAATGGAACTTTACAAAATTAACGATTAAAAAGATCTCACTAGGAAGAAGCAAATTGAATCCTCGACCTTTTTATATTTAGCAACTTACTAGCGACATATTTGTATTTAGCAAAACCAGTTTAAAATGAGTAGCTAGTAAATGATATGTCAGAAGTTCTATATAAGAAACATGAATAAATCCATCCACTGATAATTGATTTTTGAACTAAAAACCTATGAAAGTTAACATAGTATTAGAACCTAGTTTGTTGATAGCATGTGGTCTACGACTCTACGTATATATGATAACTTGTGAGTGGTCTACGTATATATGGTTCGAGAAAGCATGGAAGAATCGACTAAGTGCTAGAAATCTCAATTTGAAAGTTAAGATAGAACCTCAATAAACTATAAAGAACGTAACATGAGTCAATCCATTCATTATCAATCTGTTTTGGAAGCTCATGAAAATTAGCACGACCTATCATCAATTATTGTTTAGCAACGGAACTACAGTAAATTATGTTATGATGGATTGTCAAAATAATGTTAATTTGGTCCGTTGCTAAAATAAAATAAAAATTCTGATCTCTTGTTGATAAATCCTAAAATTGGGACCGTATCGTAAATATGGGCACAAAAGAAGCAACGCATTCATATGTGGATTTGCATGTAAGTGAGTGTATAGTATGGCATCTATGATCTATGCCTGTATAAATGTGATGTTTCTTATCTTGCAAAAGCTGAAAAGCAAAAAAAAAGATTTATGCACTTTTCATGAAAATTTTGATTCCCTTACCCAAATCCCTTAACCTCAATTCACGTCCAAGTTCACAATGCTTCCAACTGTATATATATAGAAATGCCAATCCCTTCATTTTTTTTCAAACCCTAAACCAAAGTTACCAATTGCACCGAGATATACATACAATATAGTAGCAATACATTGGTAATGTAATATAGATAACCAAACATCATTTTGATCGGATGTTTCCTAGAGTTCCTCTGAACACTTCATTGGAGATACCAAATATATTTCACTGAAGTGTTTGGGGGAACTCCCGGACTCATTGGATAAGATTTGCCGCAACGATTGCAACCGCGGGCGAGGATACGGTTTAGCGATTCTTGCGATAGCGGCGGAATATTCTTTGACCACAAAATATATGAAGTGGTTATGGATAGTGGTTAAAAAATGAGCCGCCGCTTTAGAATGTTGACTACAGTAAATGGAATTTAAATCCTTTATTTTTTGGCTAAATAATTTAAATACTTCAATTAGTGGTTACTAGCTCATTAGTTAAGACTAATTGGGAGACTCCCACAGGGTAGATTTTCAAGATAATTGTGCATGATGTTTTATTATCTCGCTGCATGCTTAATGGTAGATTTCCAAGATACTCTGCATGCTTCTCTTCCACTATCCAAGAATAGTAAATCTCTACAGTTTCTCCATACGCCAATTTCTTTATAAACATGTCAAAGTTTCACTTATTCAGAACATTTGCAGTACTCATTGTTTCATTGGAGTCATGTCGATAGCTAGAATGATAGCTTCAAATCAAGAACAAGTCGATCAAGGCATAAAGGCCCTTATGTCAAACCCTAGAAACGTTAGTAGATCGATCGGCTTGGACATCATAACGAAGCGAGCTCCATTGGCGAATTCCACAACCGTACTTCTTCAGCTTAGTGATGGTACCCTATGTCTTATAATCCAGCTTCTTTCTTTCCACAATAATTATCTACCCGACTCTCTCTACTACTTTCTAAGCCTGCCTGCTTTTACATTCGCTGGTTTTGGGATAAAGGATACAATGCCTATCCTCAAGAAAGATTATGGCTTGGTTTGCAAGAACACCCTCGAAGTTGGACCATCTGCGTGGGACCATAAAAGAGCTTCTAACATTTCTATTCTTAGGTCTATGCATGTTCCAGAATTTCGTTCTTTCTCTGGTTTTTGTAATGCAGAACTTAATCTCACTGGGGAAATGATCAACCTTGCTGTCTCAAATGCCTACGCTGCATTTCGTCTAGGAGAAGATTTCCTTACAATATAATTAAGAAGTGATCTATATTACTATGTTTTGCGTTTACGATTGGAATCATTTGTTTGTTTTTGCCTTGCAATATTTCAATGTCTCTTCAGTTTTTTTTTTTTTTTTGCTTATTTCAGTTTTCGTTTCCTGATGTAATATCAAGTGTTTTCTTATTGTCTCCCTAATTTTCTATCGAATATTGCTCTTTTTCGTAATTCAGATTGCTTAATACACTGACTGAAAATTTTCAGTTTTCAAGCAAAAAGAGTAAATATGAGGAGTTCTGGAAACTTATAAGTTGGGTGTGTATGTAAACTGTTTAAGAATCAATGCTGTGTTGTTTATCAAGAACACCTTTGAACTTGCCGCCATGTCTCTCTCTTTAATTCCTGCTTGTTTATAAATAATTTTTTGAAGATAACTGATGTATGTATTTTCACAAAAAAAAAAAAAAAAAGATAACTGATGTATGTTCTGTTTCAAGATCTTAGTTACATCGTTCTTTAGTTATGTTACAAAAACAAAACTAGATCTATCATTATAGCAGTATAGATCTGAAAATATTCTGAAAGTGCATATATGTATATGGAAACTTAGTCAAAACTCCTATGAAACAGAGTGTTTTAACTAAGAAATGAAAATAACACATTAATAGTAGTAACATAGATCAGTTACATTGCTTTTGTTTACATGAAGATGTTCATAACTCACCCGATTCGTTGCAAACCCGCTCGATGATTCTTATAACGTTTCGGTGCCAATATGACACCTAGAGTCCCCCCAAACACTTCAGTGTTCATTACATCGATTTTATCGGTAGATATTATACAAATGAACAATGAAGCGTTTAAGGGAACTCAAGGGGACATTTGACTCTTCATATATATTGTCTTTTGGTAATGCTTTCTAGTGACTCAATGACATTAGTCAGAACTCAAACTGCATATTTATATATACTTCTCCATGTTATGTTTTCCTCTTTTTTTTTGCAGTGGAATTTCTTAGGGAGGGACCATAGACTATATATTATCCATTATATGTAAAACCATGCGGGTTTTGTTTGAAGATGAACCAAGTCGGAATTTGGGGAATAAGGAGCTTAGAGCATCTATATATCTCAATCAGTCTGCCACAGAAGCACATTCCTCACAAGATCTTTCGTGCAGTAGATCTTATTCTACTTCTTTTTTTCTTTCATGTGACTGCAATGTCAATGCGTGGGTTTTCCGAATATGGTTTAGCAACTTTCTTATAATAGAAATTCTTTATTAGTATAACCAAAAATATGACAACGTCTTACAACAATGAAATTCTACAAAATTAACGGTACAAAAAATCTCACTAGGAAGAAGCAATTTAACCCTTGACCCTTCATTATTGCTGATTTAGCAACTTACTAGCGAAATATTTTTATATGGCTAAATTAGTTCTAAAATGAGTAATTAACAATCGATACGTTAGGAATTTACATTGATATAAGGGACACTAAGCCAATCCACTTATTGACAAACTGATTTACAAATTCTTTCTCTTGATGATATATCCTAAAACTGGAGCAGTGTAGTATATGGGCACAAAAGAAACAACGCATTCGTTGTGCATTTGCATGTATGTGAGTGTACATGTACATTTATTGGCATATTTGCCTGTATAATGTGATGTTTCTTATCTTGCAAAAAGCTGAAAAGCAAAAAAAAGATTGATGCACTTTTTATGAAAAATTTGATTCCCTTACTTATATCCCTTAACCTCAATTCACGTCCAAGTTCACAATGCTTCCAACTGTATATATAGAAACGCCAATCCCTCCAATTTTTTCAAACCCTAAACCAAACTTACATATTCCAACCAAAATATACATACCATACATTGGTAATTTAATGTAGAAATAAACATCATTTTTGTCGGATGTTTCCTAGAGTTCCTCTGATCACTTCATTGGAGATACCATTTTCTATAAAATCAAAGTGTATTCCACTGAAGTGTTTGGGGGAACTCCTGGACTCATTCAATTTTTAGTTCATTGGACTAATAAGTTTCCTTTAGACTGAGTCCGGTCCAGACCATAGACAGAGAAACCCATGGCTTTGGTTTCTTTTGTTTTTTTTTTGGGTAAAGTCAGGTTTAAGATTTTTAAACCTATTTTGGAAGATATTTTTGAATATTTTATCATTAGCAGAACAATATGCAAAAAGGTCATAATATTTACGTAAGGCCATCAGAGACGACGTTAAGATTTTATATATGCTGGTAAGATTTGATCTAATTTGTACGGTGTTGGCTAAAGGCTAATTGAGGTTGTTTGTAGTGTTTAACTAATTGACTTACCGTTGTTAAATTGTATTTATTCTTCTCAGGTAATTAGTCTTCCTTGAATCTTGATCGCTTTCTTGTATAGCAATTCTGTCAACATGAGAGTAGCCCTCATTACTAATTACGTATCATCATATATGGCATTATTTGTACGATTGGAATGTGTGTATAATTCTATGTATTTCACTTAGAAGCTTATGTTTGGCTGCCTATGTTGTTGTATTCAATGTATATTTGAGAGCAAACGTAATAGATTCATGTTTATATAATTTGAGTTCTTTCTGCTAAACTAGCAAGAACTAAAACTGCACTATAAATAACGAAGAAAGTAGGTGCCATAGATACAAAAAATGCAATATCAATATGAACAAAGTAGATTAACAATATGTGATGGTAATTATGGAAAAAGAGAACATTATCGGCCATAAATTTTACTTACAAGGCTTCTTCGGTTAACTTAAATTTCTAGTACTTTTTGTCATAATACATAACCTCCCTAATCAGGTCGGATCTTGGCTGAATGGATCAGATCATATGAATAAAGAGATTTGTCTGATCAATCGTAACCCACCGCCAAACGAAAGCTCAAAATTTGAACTTCATCTTCTGGATTGTTCTTCATGATCTTCCATCATTACTTTGTCCGCATCCAAATACTCTATTTTTGCATTTATAACATTTGACATATGAAAAAGTTAAAAAGAAAAAGAAAATTGACATAAAATGTACGTAGAACCAAGGATTGTATTTTATTTGCTTTGAAGACAATCGAGAGGCTGGGGAATGAATTATTCTAGAGCATAATATAGGACTTCATTATACTCCTTCCGATTTCTAGTACGAACTGAGAGGTTACTTAGGTTAGTTTTAATATATCACCACATGGGATAGTTATAACCTTGGATGCATCAACCAAATCTTGCTTTTTCAACTCTAGAGAGGATTGTCCATAAGAGTCCATATAGTAAAAAAAATGCGGTAACATTTAGTCCCTAAAACCTGAAAACATCTAATCGATAGTTCTCTGCACTATCATTAGGTCTTAAAATCAACTTAGTTTTATATTCACAGCAGACACTGAGACACACTTACCATCGTTTAAATTTAGTGTTATATCTTCTTCATTTTTCATTGCAGCATACTTAAGCTATGATTTGAAATGAAAAATAATCGTTTTATAGACATTCATAGCAAAAACAAATTGGTATTTATCTTTGCTGGCAAACTAAACTAACCAAGATTAGTATAGTACGACAGCTTGAGAGGTGAATGAAATTTCATTTAAAAATTATATCATTTGGCTTTCAATGAAATTACTTTTTTAAAAAAATATTTAAACATGTAACTTCTGAATAATAAAATAGTTGTGGAATCCTTTTTTTTTTAATGAGAAAAAGGTAAATATTGAAGAGCTAACAAAGAGACATGTGACTCTTGCCTTTCTTACTCATCTATATGTCCAACAGCCACTATATATCTATTTTGATTCCTTTTCCTTCTATATTCGTAGAATTTATTACAAGGGCTGACAAATTTTTAGATTCTTATCAAAACGTGTGCAAATGTTTTTGTATTACCAAAGATGAACCTGGTCCGTGTTTTGGACCTTATGAAAAGACACTGAAATTAAGAATAACATTTGTGAAACAAGTTGCTTCTTCTTATAGCACTATCTTTTCATTCACACACACACACACACACATATTGAATTTTTTTTTTCTTTCAAAAATTCCCTATTTATTCATTTAGTATAGTACGTTATGGATTCGAGTCTCCGCGATAGAAAATGGACAAGTCACAAGAATATTTATCTGGTGTGGATTCGTTCCAAAAAAAACTATTAGCAATGATACCACAACTAATGATATGTGACACATTCAATAGTTGACTGATTTAAACCAATCTAGTTCAATCGACCACCCAAATCTTGTATGTACGTATGTTTTAAAGAATCATATTTTATCTCACGCGAAAAAACAGAGGGAAAAGAAATACTGATTCGCTTGTCCAAACTCTTGAACCCGAGTTTAAGTCCAGGTTCACAACACTTTCCCGTCACACTAAAGTACATGAAATCCTTTAGTTCTCACTATAAATTAAAATGTCACTCCTTCTATCTTTCTCAAACCCTAAGAGATCTAAGATCATATATATGTATCTTCTTCTCTTAGTATACTACATACTATAAATATACAAATAATATTTCATGTCCACGGACTGACGAACACGTACTACAAAACAACAAAGATAATATTTGGCTAGATGTCCTCTAGAGTTCTCCCGAACACTTCATTGAAAATTTGTTGTTCTTCATTTAGATAACAATTAATTCCACTGAAGTGTTTGGGGGAACTCCGGATGTCATTTGGTGGTGTCCCGCCATGTATGTAAGATAGTAGCTTCGTTGGCTCTTTAAAATCCTTACTAGCTAACATTTTGTGTGTGTTATATATGCTATTTTGTTTTGATCTTTAGTCCAGATGACTTATTTGTTACTCACCTTTTTTAGATGTTTTATTTTGATTGATCACATCTCTAACTAATAATAGAAAAAATTATGTCTGAACATGAAATGTGAGTGATGGAGATGATATTCTTGTTTATATCAGTACCACAGTATCTACAAGAATGAACGGTTTGACCCACAAATCCCAAAAAGGTTAACACCAACCATATGCGCTTATTAATCTCTTGATTATTTCCTTATGTAAGTTAGAAAGCTCAATATTTTGATACTTTACGTTCCTACCATTACGCATCATAGCTCTGCGCTAAAGACAAGAAATATATTCATCGATCATATAAATCCTATTTTCAAGTTTCCATATATTTATACAAATACATTTTCAACCAGAAACCCCTTAAACTCGAGAGAGGAAGTACAAAACTATTCAACACACTTTGCAGAAGTGTATTTACATACTCAAAAAGTTGCTAAATCTCCTACTTTCTCATAAACGCGGAGATCTCTTGAACCCTGCGATTCTCTGACGTATGAGATGAAGGAGAGATGCTAGCGCTTGGAGTAGAACCAGTTTTTGTTGAAGCCTCAAGCTGTTGTAAAGTAGACAAGACATCAGACATCTCCGGTCTTAACTTAGCTTCCGTGTTCAGACACCGCAATGCAATATTGGCTGCTGCACAAGCACCTTTGTGAGGGTACTGACCTCCAAGCTTTGTGTCCATTATTCTAAACACTTTTCTCCTGTCCACCAAATAAGGTATTGCCCAATCCACTAGATTCTGTTCCACTCCTACTTTCGTTTTATCTATTGTGGGACGTCCCGAAAGTAGTTCGAGTAGCACAACTCCAAAGCTGTAGACATCGCTCTTAGAGGTTAACCGGCCGGTTGCTATGTATTCAGGAGCTGCGTAGCCGTGAGTACCCATCACTTGAGTTGTCACATGGGTTCTATCTCCTGTTGGTCCTGCTTTAGCCAATCCGAAATCAGATAGCTTTGCATTGAACTCCTGAACTTACAAAACAATTCCAATAAACGTTAAATAAATACAAACGTTATTTTAAGTCGTTAGGGTTATGTACAAAATTCAGAATTAGTCTAGAATTTAGTATGTGTTGTACCGCATCAAGTAGAATATTAGAGGCCTTGAAGTCACGGTATATGACTTTAGCTTCGTGGAGGAAAGCAAGTCCTCTCGCTGCGCTAATGGCAACTTTCATTCTTGTCTTCCACGGTATTGGCTCTGCGCCTCCTACAATCAAGAACACCAAGAAATGAAAAGAAACAAAAATCACATTTGATACTTGAATTTAACTAGATGTAGCTCCATTCAAGTAAAGTCACTCACTTCTAAACAAATGATTCTCGAGACTTCCTCTAGGCATGTACTCGTAAACTAAGAGCCGCTTCTCTCCTTCTAAGCAATATCCAATTAGCTTCACAAGATTCATGTGATGAAGCCTTCCAAGATAGTGAACCTCAGTCTGAAAACCCACTTACACTTTTATTTGGTTTCAATGTTGATTAAAGTTATAGATTAAGGATAATGAACTTACCAACCACTCTTTGTGTCCTTGAAACCCGTCTGCTTTAAGTTGCTTGACTGCAACAACCACACCGGACCCTGGTTTTGAAGGTGACAACGACTGTTCACCAATCCAACCTTTATAGACATAACCAAAACCGCCTACACCGATAAGACTGTTGGGTTTGAAGTTTCTAGTAGCGGTTTTGAGCTCGTTGTATGTAAAGGCCTTTAGTGTTGGAGAAGGTAAGAGCTCTCCTTCACTATTTGGTGTCTGAATTGACCATGGTGAAGTAGTGAAGCTTCTGTTGCTGTAAGAGGGTATTGTGAGGCTTGAGAGTCGAGATGAGTGATTTGGTTTAGCGGAAAGTCTCGATGACCCTGTTGTTAAATTTGACAACCAACATAGCAAATAAATCAGTTAGATTAAATTATAGTTGGGAATTAAGTGAAGTTTTTGATATAATCTTTAATGAGTAAAGGTGGTAGAAGCAAAGAACATAGTATTTCTTTTTTTTTTTTACAACAAGAATTATTTCATTTTAAGCTAACCATTTAGATAAGATAACTAAAGAAACCTAGGATCAAATACACATCATAAATACACTTTCTAAAACACAACAAAAAGGCTTAATTCGATAGAGAGGGAAGGAGTAAAAGAAGAAGAAGTGGGGTTACCTCCAAAAGAGTTTTCTCTGTTATTGACTCTTGCAGAAGAATTCAAGCAATTACCCATTAGAGAGATCAGAAACAGATATACAAACACTTATAATTCGTTTAACTAAACTGAAATCGAGGTTTCTTTATCTGATAAAGCAATAAGAGTTAAGGGGAAAAAACAGAGAAAACTAGAAGAAGAAACAGAGGATATTTTAAAGAAAAAGATAGAAGATAAAAACAAGGAAATGAAGGATTTGTATGATGAAAATTCTTTGTCTGTCGTTGTCGTTAGTCAACACCAAGAAACGTGTGCACCACCCATCACTACGTTGGTCTGCTGGACTTTCTTGTTTTGCACTTTTCTTCTTTCAAATAATCTAATAATCCTATGGGATTTTCTAACAAAAAATGTGTTCCACAATAATTTCTGTAAAGTAAAATGAAAATGAAAAGAGGGATATAGGTTTATCAGTGTAAAATTGAAAGTGGTTTCTTATACATATGATGTAACTAAGTACGTGGATCCACAGGTTACAGAAAATAGAATAAGATATGAATCAATATAAATTATAAATATTTTGCAGAATTTATGAAAAATATTGTCGTCAAAAAAAAAATATTATGAAAAATGTTTATTCTTTCATTTGTCTATAATATCATCAATTTCATATTCATTAGTAGTATTTGAACACTTCTATGTGAATATATATAAAAAAAATAATCTTTTGGATATTAATAGTTCTTTTGCAAAAGAACATCAATAGTTTAAGTGTTTAACCTACAATAAATGGCAAATAAAGCTTTTGTACAACAATAAATGAAGCCTTAAACCTACAAATACATTAAATGTGATCACAACGTACGGATAAATGGCTGCATCTACAATAAATGGCTGCATCTATAACTCGGATAAAAAAAATTATGCCAAGATATCAAACCCGAAGTCCAACGTAAATTGACAAATTACTCTCCGCACAAATTTGGGGAAATAATCAACATTTTAGAGAAAGAGAATGTTTTTTTTTATAAAGAGAAAGAGAATGATGCGTGAAGGGATATGTTAATCGTTAAATTTAAAAATTGTACAAGAAAATCACGAAGGTTTTTTCGACGAAGAAGGTGTTAAAGTCAATTATGATCTACGAAAAGACGAATTGTTGCTTTTCCTCCAAGCAAAGCTCCCGATTCTTTTATCCTTAAATTGCATCTTTTGAGTCAACCGTCTTTTGAACCAGGACTTTTCTTCTTTCTTGCAAGTTGCAGATCAATCAAAGATGAAAAATCAAAGGTATCTCTTACCTATACCTTTGGGCTTTTGAAAACGATAGGTCCAAAAGTTACAATCAAAACCCATTTGAAAATTGAACAACGTGGTCCATTTATTAAGAAATCCTAGGTTGTGTTTTATTTTATTTTTCTTCTGAAAAATTGAACTCACATTTTAGTAATTTCTTAGAAAACTATAAATGCTAAACGCTAAACGCAAATGAAAGGAACTTCAGTTTAGCGTTTGGCAATTTACAAAAATATTTTACTAAAATAAAAGATTAATAAACGCAACATGCTTCAACAACTAATTATAATCAAGTTTCATATCATTTTCACGTACATGTATACTTATATGATTGAGTATACAGAGTAACAATTACAACATATAACTTCGTGGTTATTGTTTATCCTAATTCATCCACATTTCTTTTTTATATATTTATGATCATTTTCAATAGAGTAATCAGTCAGGTATTATTGATCAAAACAGAAACTCTTTTTAATGCCTGCATTCCGCCTTTTTCTGCTATTGTCCGAGAAAATTTTATCAAAAGGAAAGTTGGTTTATGGTCTAGCGAAGGAAACATCAAACACAAACCTTTGAAGAACTCTAGTTAGTTTATGATATGGATATATAACAAGTAACCATACGATACGCTTTGATTCGAGCCAATCAAGGCGGATTGAGAGTTCAAGTGTTAGCTATCAGAGTTATTATATCTTTTTACAAAAAAATAAAAAAAAATAAAAAAAATGCTATCAGAGTTATTTGTGACATCAAGAAATTTGTATATATGTACGTGTCAATGTCATATACATTAAAATATAATATGTATATGCTTCCGCCAATGTAAGCATTAGTCTCGACCTTGTTTTTCGAATAGAAGTTATGTTTTCTTCCACTCAGTAAGAAGATCCCTCACGAAAGTCGGTCACAAAGTCCAACTTGAGTTTTGGTATTATATATGTGTGTTCAAAAATATACCGTAATTCGACCGTTGACAAAATAATAATAAAGTATTGATCAAAAGTATAAATATATATGTGGCAACGTGAAATGGCAACGAAAGATCGTTTGCTAACACTTAAACAAAGTGCAAAACATCGAACCACTATCCTTCATGTCATTGCCAGTCACATGCATCCCCATCTCTCCTTTTCCTTTATCACTATATTTTATTTTCACTAATATAACATTTAAATAAATAAAAATATGCAATCTTATGCTTTTAAAATAATATATCATCTTGCTCTTTTTTATTCGACGTTAGACGTAATAGCATATACACGTTCCAAACATTTTTCAAACTGTAGTTATAACGTTGTGTTAATGTAGTAGCTAGTTTTACATTTACCATCATAGTGTGGGTAACGACCAAAATATTATTCCAATAATTTTAGAACCGTATTAAAATCGAAATGATAAAACAAACCAGTTAACAAATTGATAGTTGTATAAAGCTTATATCGTGATCTTATCTACTTTTAGTTGATATTCGTCTGAGCAATTTTTCCATTGGCAGTGAGTAGTTAATAAGGGAATTGAAGCAGGAAGCACATGGCCACATAGCCAGCTCTTTCTTTACGGGTAATTCTTTGTTTGGTTGTATAGCCAGTTAGCCACACTATAATTATATAAAAATAGTTGAAAATTGCATGTTGGCATCTGATACACTGTCACCAAAAATGCCAAAAAACAAATACATTATATTTTTATAAAGGAGATTATAAAAGAAATTGAGGAATAAATATCCAGCAAAGCTGCAAAAGATTAGATTAAGGAAATGCACATGATCCCATAAAGATTCTTACATTAATTAATGCATAATGTCCCATAATACAAGCTTGATCTCTCTCATCATTTTACCGTCAACTTTTAAATATTGTCGCATCCTTTAGGGTTTCAGATTCGGTCACATGCTTGCTTCTTCTTCGTATAATTCTTGTAATTTTTACCATCCTTTTAAACTACCAATTTTACTATCTCCTTCGACTCAGTTTTCAATTTTGTAGTTATTGTATAATTGTTCGTGAATCCTGATTATTAGAATTTAGACGCTAACATGTACTCCTTCTGTCCCATATTATAAGCTGTTTTGGCATAATGTATCTGTAATTTTTTTGATGTATCTGGATGGAAATACATCCAGATACATCCAGAAAATTGCAGATACATTATGCCAAAACTGCTTATAATATGGGACAGAGGGAGTAGTCGTTAAAAATGGTTACATTTTCTTCCTTTTTTTGTTCATAAAGCCAGTGTTACATTTCTCTAAGTCAAAATTTTAATATTTCATATACTGACTAATAATTGTGGCGACTTAATGTATTGACAGTATGTGAATTACCGTCGTAGTATAGTCATATTTGCTGAAGTTGATTTTCATTTGACGCTCACTGTCATCTGAATAATTTTTTAGACTTGTAAGTTGTAACCTTGTACGTTGCATGTCTCAGAGATATTTTGCTTCATTTTGATCCTTGATTATAAGAAAACGTTGTGATTTCCTTTAATATATATAACCACCAAAGATGATTGTACGAATAAATGTCATGTCGATATAATTACGTATCTGAACGTAATTGATGGATTTGACCCCTGGGTTTTGTGTCCACACAACTCTTGCCTACTTAAAGTCTTGATTTTGATTCAAAACTTGAATGAAAAGTATATAAATATGAAAAAATAAACTATGCTTGGAAAATTGATAACTCAAAATGTTTTTACTCACGTTTGGCTTAGTTCCCATTTCCCACATGATACAGGTTTACGGTCGTTTAAAGAATATCTTGGATTTATATAGATGATAAAACTATATATAGTAAACTCAAGGAATGTATTAACTGCACAATTATATGATATAGGATTTATGCACATAAGGAAGTACATCTTATAAGTATCATACGTGGAAAAGATGAGAGTCATGACAAAGCATTTAAGTGTAATTGAAGCATCCAAGTTAACAAAGGGTCCATTAACCAAAGAAGCAAAGCAAACCAAACAAGCTTAGCTAAAAGAAACTTGTACTTCTAGAAACGAAGTGGGGGATTCTAGTGGGTCGCACAAACTCATCTCTTTTATTTTTCTTTTTAAATTATTATAATCGTATTGGAGACTAGAGTAGCTTTTATCATATACCATAATATATATATATATATAGTTCAACTGATAAACCAATTGTTTTAAACTACAGTTATAGTAACATTTGCAATGTAATTGGTTAGTGAACACCATCACCAATGGATATTTCTTTTGGGAGCCAAATATTTCTTAGCGATGGGGATTAGAAGATGTTAATTAGTCATTTCATCTCCCTTTAGCCAGGAACTTGTGGTCTTTAAACAAAATAAAAATCAGTGAGATTACTAAAATTATGTTTGGACCTACAACCGTTCTTATTTATGGCGACCAAATTTTTTGCCTCAACATCGCTAAAAGCAATGTTGGCTTTAGTCTCTCCACATCTTTAGATCCCAAGCAACTTTTATTTACATCTATTTTATTTGTCGCTTTCTTTTGTCACTAGCGTCGGGTTTCGAACAAGCTATTTCTTACATCATTCACAGTTTCAAACAAATATGTGTAATTCAATTGATTCTCTATAATGATTGGTTTGAAATTTTAAATATACATAGATATTCTGAAATTTTAAATTTATTCATAAGAAAAAAAAAGCAATGTCTTTAAGAAATTTCGAAAAGTTTAAAAGTGTCGGCCATTTGATTGTGGAAGAGGAAAAGGGGAAGAGTCGATTAAAAAGGAGAGTGACAACTTTCCAACCCCAAATTGTTTGCTTGCTTTCTTCCAACTCTCTTTGTCCGTTTCCTCTATCTCCATTGGAATCTGTGTGTGTCTATGTCTCTTACTTCTTCCCTTACTCTTGTCACATTTATAATCTCTTATACTCAAATCACAGTTTATCTTGAAGTACTATACATTGATGATATATGACTTTCTTGAATGAAACTGCGTTGATAAAACAAGAATTGTAGTCGAGTAAATAAGAGTATATTTGCAAAATGACCACACATTATTTTATTTGTAATCAGTTATGGAGTAAAAGTGTAAAACTATAATGATTATGCGTATCTTAAACAACTAACATATTATTTTATCTGATAGATGTTAGTATATATGTTCTTACGTGATAACACAATTTTATCAGGTGACACATTGTTCTTCTGTATACATGTTCATTGATATGCGAGTGAACTTAAGAACGATCTATTGTATTCGATAACATGTTACTTAATAAAATGAATTTTCAAAGATGAAGGCAATTGCCCTTATCAAGAAATGGAGGACGTTTTTGTCAATAATAATTTAGACTAATTTACAATCAAATCACTAAACTTTCAGAGCTCTTTTTTCATAGAAAAGGAAGATGAAGCAGAAGGTGAAATAATAATGGTGAAAGGAAAAAAAGGAAATGGTTATGAAATTCATGGTCTGATGCATCCTCAGACTAAAATATCGTACGTCTTTTGTAAGGTCTCGTGATAACAAAAAATAACTCCTATAGATTTTGTCCCATCATTATTATTTTTTTTTTTTTTGCGGGGTCTTTTTCTTTTAACCCTCTCGGCCAAATCATGACATATGCAGATTTTATTTCATGGATTTAAAGTAATTTGCTACATGGAAAATGTCCTTTTCATTGTGTATTCCATTTATTTCTTCCCACTTCTGAATATGACGACTACGACCACATGGTGCCAGTACCCACGACTAAACATTATAATATACAATTTTTTTTTATTTTTCTCCATATATATCATAGAAAATTGTTGGGCCATAATGATATATATATATATATATATATTTTTTTTTTATATGATATAAGATGACTTTTACCCATTTTTTTACATCTCATTACTCAAAAAAAAAAACAGAAATAAAAACAGAAAATCTCGGTGGCGTTTGGTTGCAGATTTCAAAAGTGAGCTAATGATAGATTCCAATTTTCGAAACATGCATGGGTTCTTCTGATCAAAATTCAAAACAAAAACAAAAAAAATATATATATATATAAAACGAAAAAAAAAAGGGAAAATAAAAAACAGTTCGACCAATTTCAGTTGTACTGTTGCTGATCAAGCCATGGCCAAAAACCAGAGTGGTCATCCATTGCACAGAACATGTTACTGATACTGTTCTCTTCTTTCACCATGCTTTGTCCTGAAGAAGAGTTTTGAAAGAACTGCATCGTCGTCGTTGTGGTCGTTGCGGTGGCTGGCGACGGTGGGAAGAAGTGTCGACTGACTGTCTGCGGAGGCGGTGGATGGCCACCTGTTATTGTGCTGTCGATTGATGGCGGTGCCGTTGAGATATCAAGTCTGAGATTATCTGAGCTGTTATCACTTCTGTTACTGCACGATCCTTCTGTTTCTTTGTTCAGATTTATTGACTCTGTTTGTTCTCTGTTTTTTAACCCCTTTATCTGAAATTATTCAAAACCCATTTATGACATAAATAAGATTCAGAGATTTTTTTTTTTTTAAAAAGAGTACTGTATAATGTGATAAGCATGAGAAAGATACTCTGTTTCTGACAAGATGAAAGAAAAAACGAGATAATGATGTTTTTGAAAAGTCATGAATCATGTTGAGTTTATTTAACCCTACTTGAAAACAACTCCTGATCCCAATAATTATTAACAAAACAAACTTTAAACCTTTTCTGAAAGTAAGAAAAAAAATGAATATATATATTTTACCCTAACAAAACTATGAGATTATCGAACTTTTATCAAATAACAAAAACTATGAGAATATATATTAACCCAAAAAAAAAAAAATTGATCTTTCAAATTTTCAAGAAAGAAAAGAAACTACAAAATGTTCAGAAAAGAAACTTAAGAAGTTCAATCTTGTAACCCTGACGAATTTGAGAGTTCTTTTAGTTAGAACAAAAATTATGAGATCATTAACCTAAAAAGGCTTTAACTTTCAAATTTTCAGAAAGAAAAGAAACACACAAAAAATTCATCATTTTGACCTGACGACATTAAAACAAAGTTCCATTTTTTTCGAATTATGAGATTAATTACCTCAGTTTGGAGTTTCTGATTATGGGTTTGAAGAAGATCGTTTTCAGCTTTAAGGGCATCGAACTGTCGTTTAAGCGTATCGTAGTCTTTCTCGAGCTGCTTTGTTTTCCAGCGAGCTCTTCTGTTCTGAAACCAAATCGCGATCTGTCTTGGCTGCAAACCCAAGGCACGAGCCAACTGCATTTTCCTCTCCGGTTCAAGTTTGTTTCCAAGCTCGAAATTCTTCTCCAATGTCTTCACTTGCTCCATGTTCAATCTCCTCTTCTTCTCTCCCATTTGAGATCCATCGTCTGAATAATCCTCTTCTCCGTTCATATTGTTCCCCGTTTCTAAATCACAACACCCTTCTATCGGAGATCTCTTACCTAGAAACGAAGCAAATCCTGAAAACAGAGCAAAACAGAGCTTTAGAAAACAGAAGAAATTAGTAAAATTGTGTGTGCGTGTGTGTGTATGTATATACCATGGAGATCTTGAGGAAGAGAGCAAGAAGGAAGGAGAGGAGCGAGAGATGGAGATTGATGAGGATGATCGTCTTCGTAAGAGGTTTGGATCATGAAATTTGAAGGGAAAAAAGACATTCCATTATTACAAGACATTTTCTTCTGTTTTTCCAACAGAAGACAAGACACTGTTGCTTGAGCTTTGGTCGTTTCTCTTTAGTTTCTTCTTAACATTCTTTGTCTTGAAGACATCATAATTGAGAGAACTTGGGGATCTCAAAACTCTTTGTGTGAGTCGGAGAATCAAATGGAAAAAAGAGAGGAGGAAGAGAAAAAAAAAAAGAGAGATAGTGAAATGAATCGGCCTAGACTATACCACTTATGGTATTTATTTTCTTCATTTTTTCGTTTTATATAGAAAGGCTGAAAGAGAGAGAGAGGGGGTCTTTAACAAATAATTCACTTGATAAAACAGCTTAAACTCCATTTCAATTAAACCAAACAAACAATATACTTAAGCTTTATTCTTCTTCCTTTTTTTTTTTTTTTTCATTTTCCACTATAGATTGATATTTTTAACCAATATTGGTTGACCCAATTCAATTTACAATGGTATGTACAAAGTACAAACTAATCTCTAGGATGGTAATTTATAATCGTAAGAAAGTTGGGTTAATCAGACTTTTATAATCTTACGAAAATTTAGATATATTATGACATATGACCTAGTGGTTTTTATTATCGACTATGTATTAGCATCCAAATTCAAATTCTCTTTAATGTATATTGTGTTGTTGACAAAACAAAATTTGAACAGTGAAAATGAAGGGTTATTTTATATATTAAGAGAGGGAAATTATAAAAGGGTTACAGCTTGCGTACAAAGTGGAAAAATAAAAAAGATGAGAATGAAAAAGGTTATGAAAGGAAAGGACTCTTTCTTTAAATTTTCCCCTTGGGAGAGACATGCAGAGGTGATCTCTCTCACTCATCATCATACTTGTCCTTTAATCTTTTTATCTAATCTCTCTTTCTCTTATTAGATCTGTCCTTTTTTTTTGTCAACCAATGCTCATCTTAAAGTCATCATAACTATCAAAGTTTGATCATCTTTTATTTTAAACTCAAATTTTATTTATTGATAATTTGATTGATATCCGTTATAGATTAAATGCATAGGGAGAGAATTTACCTAGTTAGTAGCATATTAGAGCTGTTTCATACTTCCATTGAGAAATAGGGTTAACCCTACTGTTTGATTTTTAGGACTTTTACCACCTTTTAATTCTCTAGTTCGAAGTAAATAAACCTAAATTTTAGGATTTGTTCATACTATGTAGTGATATTAAAGTCAGGAAGGTGAATAGTGAAAGGGTCCACTGTTGATCCTAGGTAGTATATTATACACGGGCTAGTACGTATAGACCCATAAAAAAAATCGTATTGTGTCTGCATTACTGCATAGACCTACCTATACATGTAGATCTATTGAGGGTACAAAAGAAAACAGAAAAAACCTTAGTATTTTTTGTTTCTTGGGAAGAAGAGAGAAGTGATATTATTGATTTTCAGATGTTTTATGATGCTAGTTGTGATTACTTTGATGCAAAACATAAAAAAGGAAATGTATGCACTTGTAAGCCCAAGTAGTCAAGTAGACTATGGTATTATCAATCAATTGAAACATGTAACTTTTCGTATTGATTTCTTCTTAGTACTTGTAGATTCTACGTACATCATTGGCTTAATACAACAAATATGTATTTTGGAGTTGGAGCTCTAGACTTGCCTATAAGATTATGGTATTCATACGTCACATCTGATCTCAAACTACGAGTTTTAACCTAACCTACCAATACAGTAATTATTTGCCATCCGCTTAGATCGTAATTATTAATTGTTTTTAAAAAATTAAGAAGAGTTTCATACAGTAATCTGTATTTTGATATTCCCTATATATAAATACTAGGTTTGAAGCCCCGCGCAAGCGCGGGGTTGTTTACGATAGTTTTTCTGTTTAATTTTATTTATACTCGTTGATTTGAATTATGATGGTTTTGTATTAACTTTCATGTTTTTGTTATGTTTTGAGTTAACTCAACCACTAACACTAAAAAATATGAATAATTTGTTTTTTATTTTAATTTATTAGGATATTAACACCCCGCTTTATCTCGAGTTTTCTATTTCTAAAATTTATCATGTTATAAATATTATGTTTGTTTACTTTTTTTTTTATTAAATATGTATATGCATTTGACTGAAGGTTAAAATTTGTAAACATATTCTTGTTTTTCACTACAATTAAATTTACATATAAAACTCCATTTCTATTTGTTTAGAAAAACAAACTCTAACTCTAATGTTTCATTAGCTTTCTATTATCTTAATTAATTTATATTCAACTTTTTAACTTGTAAACACATTATAACATTTTTAAATAGATAAATCCTTTGAATAAAAAGGTAAATATATACTATTTGAAGTTAAATATTTCTTTACTCCATCTCTATTTTATATTCCAACTTTTTGATAACTTTTAACATCAAATTATCACATACTTTCTATTAATTAATTAATTTATTTGTATATTTTTATTAAATATGAATAAATGTAAAGAAATATGAATAGTCATATATTTAATAAATAATTTAAATACAATTTAATGTTTTTGTGCTGATGTGGACACTCTAGATGGAGAGAGCAACTCTCCTATTATATATAAGATTATGTTACAAAACGGAAGTATACAAAATAAAAGAAATTCCAAAATTAATAGACATAGAATTGTTACATGTTACATGGCTTATGTACACTTGAATGCATATGCATGTATAGACAAACGTATAAAGATGGTGCGTGGGGTATTTAGGTTAAGGAAAAAAACAAACAAACTTACTGTTTAATTAACCCCACATAAGAGCTGTTCTGTTTTGTCCCTACCTCTCTTTCCTCTTCTATTCCTTTCCCTAATCAATATTTTTTCCTAACACCGTTTTCGTTGATCAATTTATCATATTCGTGTTCTCAAACATCATCAACCACATAACTATCAACACTTACGCTCAATTTCACTTTATACTAGACTACCATTAATCATTGTTTAGTAGAGTAGTAGAGTACTTATCCGCCTAACTGACATGCACTGATGCAACCATCACCTCGTGCGAATTTGCTACTGAAATTAAAACTTTTGTTAGCTAATATATTCGGATATATTTACACAAATGTCCGTAACTGAATATATACTAAAATAATATATATCATCTTTGCTGAGTGTTATCCATTCGTGACTGAACACGATACATGCATTCTTAACACCAAGAAGTGAAAATATACGAACGACAAGAATGATGAAAAGGCTAGTGTCACTAGTTGCAGGAAATTTGGAAAACTTGTTCACTCATGTCGTTTTGGTATGATCGCCCAGCTTGTGTGTATCTTGTAATAAAGAATATATAAGTATATGTTTTCGATAAACGTCTATCTAAGCGAAAATACGTCTTCGTCGCCCAAAACTTCGATATGAAATTTAGGAAAGTCAGCAACGTAGTTTTCAAGGAGTCACGATATGTCCCTCCTCTCGTGTCACCACTCATAGCGAACTATCTGCATAGTATAATAAATTTAAAATACTGTATATGTGAGTCATGTGACACATTCATATACATATTACATAATATATGTGAGCGTGCGTGTATGTTTCTGTCAGATTATACTTGGGACGTCTTTATTCTTGTGGTATTGCATAAAATGATAATAATAAATTTGTAGAAAATAAATAAATGTATACAATATATTGTCATATTGACTATAAATCTCTAAATTCACTGGTAGGCCAAAGCTTAATGTGTTTCTACACCATGTCAGTATGTCACCCATATTTGAAGTTCATTTACATAAAAATATAATTTGTTGTAAATTAATAGATGAAATTTATCGGAGATATTCAACCCAGTGCGAGTATTTTTTGTTTATGACTAATTGCTTAAAAGTAATATTTACAAAATGTCTCAAAGCCTAACAATTGAGTGTTTCCTCTTATACTATAAAACAAAAATTATGAAAATGTATAGATTAAACATGAAAGTATGAGAATTTTCTTTACTTTACTGAAAAAAGAATAATAGTTTTCTCAAATTTTAACCTATTATTCTTTCTATTTATAAATGGATTTAAGATGTTCTTGGTTTTATTTTTTTCCTAGTGTGGAATAAAGGAGTAGTGTTCATGTTGTGTTGTTGTTGTCCATCACAAAAATGTAAAAAGGAAAGCGAAGAAGACATTAGTGGACCCATGACAAGAAATAAGGCCCAAAAGTTGGCTAATTTCAGCCATCGCGACATATGCACACTTCTCCACTGGACATCCATTTGATTATACAATCTGCAAACACTTCTCTTTCCTTCACTCATCGTTAATATGGCTTATTGCCTTTAGTTTTCTCAACCTATTCCTATTAGCAATAACACAATAAGAAATTTTATGAAATACACCTCTTGATGTGTAAATTTTCAAAACTACATCTATAATGTGGAAATTTTCAAAAATACACCTTTTCCCAATTTTAATATATATGTTTGGGTTCACTAATCCTATATTAGGGTTTAGATTTTGGGGTTTAGGGTTTAGATTTAAGAGTTCAATGTTAGATTTTAGGGTTTTGGATTTATATTTTAGGGTTTAGAGTTTTTTTATTAAATGAAAAAAGTGTAATTTTAAAAATTGGCACCATAGAGGTGTATTTTTGAAAATTTGCACCTCAAGAGGTGTAGTTTTGAAATTTCCCCCAACACAATTACACACACGCTCATATATTAATATGAGTTAATAGCAAGTCATGTCAGTTTGGTTGTATTTTGGAGACGCGGGTAAAAGAAAATAAAGTTCAGCGTATTGTTACGAAGGTTCGAGCCATTTTGAAAAAGGTACATATTATGATTCTTCTGTTCGATAATGAAAAATAATTTTCTTCATTCGACTTTTCTTGTTTGAGCTAAACCATTAAACAGTGAATATCAACGTTGGAAAACATTGTTTCATATATCAAGACGAATGGTTTTGATATAAGCCCAAGACGAAATTATATTATAAGTGATGGGAAAATCCAGCCCGAAAGGCCAAGCCTCTTACTACAAACACAAATTGGTTGATGAACATTATGTACTATGATCCTTATTTTGGATTTACTTTAAATACACTGTATTAGTTACATAGGTTAACTTCTAAAAGCAAAAAAAAAGTTTTAACAAAAGTAATTAATTAGAGAACAAGAACCAAGTCATAAATCATAAATATTGGAAGATCTCATAACTCGCAGCCAAACTATACAGCCATGTGTGGATCCTCATAATGTACATATAATAATGAGAATAATACGTACATAGATCAATATTATATGACCCCAAGCCCTAGCTATAAATATAGTATATGAAGTGAACGTATCGTTAATGATATATTTTTAACTCGATTTATTCACTCAACAGTGAAGCAATACTCCTAGTGATGGCTGCCTTTCCAGTGTTGTCGTCCGTCGAAGCCAAGATTTCTGACAACTGATCGCTGAGGTTATCAACGTCGCGGTGCAAGCTCTCGATGTAGTTGCAAGTCTCTTCTAAAATTTTAGATGCTGGTACCTGTCCATTTTTGTTTAAACACGAAGTTAACGAAACGAGTCCCACAAAAACACCAAGAAAAAAAAAAAAAAAAAAAAAAACAAGATCGGAATATATCAAAAGTAAATGATCGTTAGCTAACAAAACTATTTATCAATTGTGAACATGTTCAAAGTCATTTTGTATCCTAGATATTGTTGTAGGAAACTGTACAATATGGTTTCACGAATAACAATAAAAAAGAGCATAGCATACAAATATAAATAAATAATAATAATCAAAGGAACATACCTTGTCAAAGCTTCTTAGGGGAAGTTGAGGAATAAGATGTTGGAGCTTGCAAACAAGCTCGGCAACTTGGTTATCAGAGGCTCTACATCTTCCTGACTGCCTTGAACGTGATCTTCTGCTCTTCATCGATATTGAACGAAGAGAGAGACAGAAAACAAACAGTACTGTGTGTCAGAACGAGGCAGAGAGAAAATGGGATAGAAGATAAGATTCTCAAGAGGTATAATGAGCAAAGTGGAGAAGTGTTTATTCACAATTATATTTTTTGGGGAGAGAAAAGATATTTATAGATATAATGTGTTATGTGTATACACACACACACACATATTAGGATGTCCTGAGCTTTCATGAATTAAGTATATGCAGCTTTCCGTTTCATTTTATATGTCACGCATGATAGAAACAAAATATCTATTTCCGGTTAGATTCTAAACATTCTTTCATTCGAAAACTATGTCTTGACTGTAACATGTCTTCAATGGAATCATGTTATGCTTTCAAAATATAATTTTATTATTTAAACTAGTCACTTTCTTGTATTAAAATATTTATATGATTTTCAGATTTCTTGTTAGTTAGGACTTCGATTGTTCTAAACAAGAAGTTTTACGTTTGTTATTACAATCATAACATACTTTCTCAAAAATATATATTTATTTGCTGTTAGATTCCCGAATAGGGATGAATTAACCAATTACTAGATATATATATATATACTTTTTCAAACTCTATAAAGTAGCCATAACCTAATTTATTTTTGCTAAGAAATTATATAGGATGCTTTTGAGTTTTCTCTTCTTTGTGTGGCATTGGATGCTTATCAGTTAGGATGAAAGAGATTGTATGGGTTAACAAAAAAAGAGAAAAAAAAAATAGAGGACGCTACAGTATGCATGTTGATAGCCAAAAACAATAACGATAAAACTAAACTGTAATATCCGTAAACCAAATAATTGTGATTTTTCTTTGGTGTCGAGCGACACCAATGGTTAAAATCCAATTTTTGTTCGATTTCAGTTGGTTTGGGCCAGTTTGGGTCCACAAAAACTCTGATATCATGTTATAAGCTGCAGTCGTCGAGTTTCTTGGCAATTTTGTCGTTTTGTGAAAGAGGAGAAGTCGAGAGGCGATTTGGTGGTGAAATACGGTGTTCCTAGTCGATTCAGAGGCGAATCCTTTCTGTTCTTAGTTGCTTTCATTATCCTTTCCTTATTCAATCCGTTTATAGAGGTGAGTGTGTGACCATAGGCCCGTAATTCACTAGATTTGGATTTATTGTTGAGTTTCTGTGATATTTTGTGTTGTGTTCTTGCTATATTACTTGTTTGATCGATATGTGGGTGTTGAAACCCGAGATTTGATGTTTCTGTGTGATTTTTGCAAATTGGGGCTTTTGCTGTCGATCGATACAAAGGAAATTTGGTTGGTTTTGTTTGTTATTTGTTATGCTTTCTTGTTGTTTGTTGCTAATGTTGTCACGTAATTGGCTTGTAGGGAGATGATCCACTCACTAAGTATTTATGATAATACTTACGCAACTCTTTCGTATCTGTTGCAGGTAAAAGGTTTACATGATCGCAAAATCAAGGCCGAAAAAGAGGATGATAAAACTTTGTTATTTGCATTGTTTAAGTTGTTAGTTTAACTTGGTGTTTAAATTGCTAATTTACTTTATTGTTTGATGTCATTTGCTTTCCGCTGTATATTATTATTTGATAATTTATTTTTAAAACTTCCGCTAGCATTGTTTAATTTAAAAACAAAAACAAAAAAACGTGATTGTTTCATAAACCATCCCACGACGCCCAAAACCAATTTAAGACGTCGTCTGTGTTGTCTCGTAAATCTCTCCTTAATTTTTTTTTCATTTTCCCATTTTCCAAAACAATTCATGTCACTGTTATACGTACATCAAGCATAATAGATTCGTACGTGTAACAGTGCAAGGATGTTGTATCCACACATTTTTGGATTTCTATCAAAATAAACCAAACAAGATTCTTAGAGTCCGGATTATGCAGAGAATCTTATCTCCTTATCATTTTTATTGATAGACTTTTGTTTTAACGAAAAATGTAGCTTTTGAAACATAAATTTACTAGTCTTAGTTTTGGTAGGATTAAATTAGGAATCATTAAGATCGCTAAGCTCTAAGCTGGTGGATATGATTTCAAATGAATTTAATTAAACCCAAACACATCTTTACAGGTCATAAATCGTATCTACAGCTTAAAATTCTTGTAATCATCAACTTTCATGCAACCCATAGAGCGATTAATACAGTTGACATATATAAGCTGCGTCCACAAATTCATGTCTATCAACTATCAAGAAAATACTGAAATGGTTTACAACAATTTCGAAAACCTGAACCAACAAAATCAAAATTACACGGAATCATTAGACACAAAAAACAACGAAACTTTCCAAAGACAATCACAACTAATATTGGCACCAACAGAACAGTGTGATATCAAAGACGACTCAAGCAACATCACAGCCTAACTACAACAGCAGAAAACCAGAAGAAGCTAAAGAGACTGATCTCAGCAAAAACGGCTTCCACTATATTTTTTCGCGATGCCTCTTGTCTACTGGTGGACAAGAGAAATTAATAGAAACCTAACTGAATTTTGTTGACAAACCGATTTATTTTATTATATAAAAATCTAAAAAACCAAAACCACTTTTAGTGTAACTGAACTGAATAAACCAAAATTTATTACCCAACGGCTAAACCAAGTTAAAAGTTCACCTGACTGAATGAAATAAAACCGATAAAATAAAAGATTGAATTGAAATCAAAACCAGCATGTCAGGCTGATGATTTCTTGATCAAATGCAATTTAGGATTCGTTTTGGGCTACAAATTTTTTGTGTGCCTCTCAAGATAGGGTCCAGTTTATAATTGGCCTAATTACATATGTGATCTATTTTTGGGTCTCCATACATGATACATCATTAATCATTGACATTGAGGAAGAGATGAAACTATGTTGAGTATTGCTAATACGGTAATACCACATGAAGCCAATGGATCTTAATAAGATATTTTTTCATTGCAAATGGAAACACTATAAGGTGAACAAAAACAAATTGACTATAAGAAAATATGAAAATCTTTGCCTTCAATTGGCAGACGAATGTTTTCAACTGGTGGCTTTTGAAACACTTATCGTCTTCCTCAGCCAATACTTCACCTTACTGGATTTAATTGCAAACAAATTTCTGTTTCTGTCATATTATAATACAGAGAAATCATTTTGGTGTCTTAAATGGTAAGTTCGCATATTTTAAAAAATTTCCGAAATTAATTAACCCTTCGATCAGATGAGAATGAGCTTTATATACTGAAAGTTTGAAAGATATACATATAAGACAACTTAACGCACACCCATACAAAAATCGTATAAACAAAGTGAGCTGGATATATTATATTAGTAATTACATCTTGACGAAACATGTTTATGGATCATCAGTAGAAAAATCACTAATTAATCAAATCACATAGCAAATAATGGTCCACTAACTCGAGCATCGTCGTTATTGTCGGGCAGGGTCTATTGATAATACAAATGCATAATGAATAAACGATTCAGTCATTAGTCATTAGGCATTTGATTTTATATATTAGTTTAAGTTCGGAGAACTTCCTAGATTAAATCCAACACGCTATATAATTTTAACCTAATAGAGTGGGAATATTATATTAAATCGGATACCTAGCTCCTATCGAGGTGTGAATGTCCCATTAGTATATTATTCCCAAGTATAGATCTGATTGGCACATCACTAATTATACTAGTCTGAATCTAAAGAAGACGAGAAATATCACGTTAGATGTTGAATTTTATGTAACTAATAAAATTACATGAATGACTCGGATAGACGTCGACATCCAGTGGTATCTTTTTTTTTTCTTTTCAATTTGGTATCTTCCGGATATAAAATTTTGTGGTTGTATGAAATAGTTTTTTCCCAATAAAATTGAAGCTTCTCATTTTCACATGACGAAGTGCCCAAGTCATTCGTTTGTCTGAATAGTATGTGATCTTCAATGAATTTATAGTTTAATATCTATACTTGATCCGAATCTTTGTATGGATCTGAGTTAAGTACCTCTTGTTTATTCAATGAGTTCATGATGTTTAACAAGATTAAATCTTAATCTTTGTATGGATCTTAGTATCCCTTAAAAAAACAAAGAACTCTACATATATATATATATAACATACAAAATAAACATCATAATAATCTATTAACTTCCCATCATCTCCACATATGAATACAATATTTATATATTAAAAGGGAAATAGGTATTAATGTTTACTTGCACAGTTTGCTATTTTAGTCCATAAAGTCGACGTTTAAAATTTCTACTAATGCATTTTCACGTTTTATTCTGATTTAATTAAAAACTTCTCTCCAAACTAATCTTTATTATACGTCGGCAAGTCCTTGTTAACCTGAACAACACAAAAATCCAAAAACCAAAGTGGTTGAGAAACCAGCAATGCCTTCATTTCCAACTCTCAAAATGTTTGATTTTTTCCCCTCAATAGATCAGCGTAAGCATATAAGTCTTTCCTACTATACTTAATGGCCTGAAAAATAAATCAAATTCAAACTAAGAATTATAACAATGTTTGTTTTTGTTATATTGTCAAGCATTTTTAGATCTTTGGTTTGGGGTTAAATCAAGGATTTGGTGTTTTTTCATCCGGTCGTGACTTCAATATATAAAACATTTTTTTAGTGTATGTAGATTAGAAGTAAACTTATTGGCGTGCTATATATATAATCCTCTATTATTAATTAGCGGAGTTCGTATTAAGTTGTGTATTAATTTGATGTAGATAGAATTTTTGTTGTGAGCTTCATGTTATAAATAAAGTTGTCTTTTGCAATATCGTTTTTAGAACTATTCAACGTCACTAGGCTCTGATTGGTGTAAGTTGAACCTAGTGTTACAAAGTGTTACAAACTGTATCATCATATAGGTAATCAATTAAGAAGATATTACGTTATATGTACTATCAAATTTTACTACTAATATTTGTACCACTATATTTTGTACCACTTAAATTCGTAACATCTATTTTTTTTGTAACACACCACTATACTGT